TGATAATAACAGCCCTAGCTTACAGGGTAGTTGTGAGGATAACATGAGTTGATAAAAGCACTAAGCACAGCGCTGGCTATTAGCCAGTGTTATTGTCAACCCCAACATGTGCAGTGGCAGGTATTAGTAGACACATTTTATAGGTGAGCAGACTTTACATAAATGGTGGTTGTTGTTCACTGCCACAAAAATTACTAGTGAAACTGGGAGGGATGTTAGATATTCAGAGTTAGATGGCAGCTCTGCCAATCTCTGGGCTTCTATAAGCAGGGATCAAGGAGAAGCAAGATGCTCACCCCTCTACTCATGCCCCCCCAACCACAATGGTTATTATATTGTTTTATTACACCTTTCACCCCTCTATTCTTGTCAGTCATGGCAAGAAGCCCAAGTCCCTCAGGCCATCCCTGATCACTGGACTCTGCTTCCCTTCCAGCTCCGTCGATCATCTTTTCTCACACTATCTCTTCCCCTCCCCACTGAAACCTTTCCATAAGCCTTCTGAAACTCACAGTTGATCATTAGAAACACCTCTTTTTCTTCAACCTCATCTCTGAATTTTCTCTTTACCTCCTCACTGTAAATAGAAACCTGCCTCTACCTGAGAACACACCTTCCCCTTAGTCCTCAGAATCAAGGGCTGGTTTCCTCTCTCACCACCTTTGAATCACTGCACCAGGAGATATGATATATGTTATTGCTTCTCACCCTTGCTGCCAGATCATTCTCCTTCCCTTTTTCAAAAACAAAACACTACCACTTTGAATCTCACCTTATGATTTTGCCACCCACTTATCCCTCTACAAACTACCTAACACTGAACTGTGAACAGCTCCTAGTTCCCTGTATTTCTCCATAGTCCTTGGTGATTTCAGCATCCATGGAGATGAGACTTCCAGCATCTTCTTTAAAAAAAAAAAAAGATTTATTTATTTATGCATACAAGAACTGGGGTGTAAGCTGAGGTGCGGGGTGAAAGGATTCACCAGAGAGAGTGGGGAGCAGAACAGGCAGATCTAAGTACGGAGAGGTTTGCTGTGCCATGTGGGTTGCTCCCTGGCCACAGATAGCTTGATAGCACTGTGTCTTTAATCCCTGCGCCACCAGGGAGGCCCTCCTTCCAGCATCTTCAACTATCATTCCCTCAAACTCCTTCAGTGATGTTGACCTCTCATGCTACCTTGGCCCCTCACTCTCACAATCCTCCCTGCACTGGTCATGACCAACAGTGAATTTAAGTATCCCACTTTCAGATCACTAGGATCTTTCTAGCTCACTTCTTCCAGATTCCCAGCTTCAACAGTTTTCAACCCCTACCATCTTTTCCCGGTCCTTCATGCCCCTGCATTCTCACCTTCCTCTCCGCCCAGCTTGAAGTCTATGATCAATCATGACAATGGCTCTCCCACACACACAACACACCCTATCTCCTGTGGTCCTCCATTGCTTTATCATACTCACTCAGCAAAACAACACTTTCATTAAAGCCAGCGCTCTGCTTATGTGATGCCTATATCTACAGAGCAAAACAGGATGGGAGATAAACACACATCTATGCTTTAAATTCATGAATTCATGAATTTAAATTTATAATCAGTAATTTCAAGTGGAGCCTTAATGCTAATCAGCAATCAAATTCTATTTCCCTAGTCTTTTCATCCTTCCACCTTTCTAGACAACATTCTCCTCCTCAATTTCTACACTTCCTCCCCCATCCTCACTTTCAGATGACCTTGTCTCCTACTTCATCAGAAAATTGTGTTCAAGAGAACTCCCACCGGCACATGTAGCTCCTAGCCACACCCATGTTCTCACCCTCTGTAATCTACCCTGGTGATGTGGCTGCACAGTCTTTTTTCCCAGCAGGGCCTCACACTGTGATCCTCTCCCTTCTCACCACTCAAGAATATTGTCCCAGTATGGGGCCTCCTGGGCGGCGCGAGGGGTTAAGACTCAGTGCTATGAAGCTTTCTACAGCCACTGCAGCATGAGTTCAATCCCTGGCCAGGGAGGTGACCCACACGGCGCAGCAGACCTCTCCTGTCTCACCCACTGCTCCCCTCAGCAGTGTATTTCAGTACATCTGCCTGTTCTGTTCCCCACTCTGTCTCTGGTGAATCCTCTTACCACCCCCCATCTCTGGCCTGCACCCCACCTCTTGTATGCATAAATAATTTTTTTTTAAAAAAAGATTATTATCCCGGGCCTCCCCAGTGGCGCAGCGGTTGAGCGCTGGGTTGAGAAGCTCCCCGTGGCCTCTGCAGTGCCGGTTCAATCCCCGGCTGCTCCCCAGCCACCAGAGGAGGGTCCCACATGGCGCGCAGACCTCTCCTGCCGCCCGCTGCTCCCCTCAGCAGTGTACTTCGGTCCTTCTGCCTGTTCTGCTCCTGCTCTGGCTCTGGTGAATTCTCTCACCCTCCCGCGCTTCTGATTGTACCCAGTGCTTGTATAAACAAACAAACAAATATAAATAAATAAATAAATAAATATGCCTCTGAAAAAAAAAAAAAAGATTATTGTCCCAGTATATTCTCCTCTCTCTTATGGCCTCAGTTTTGAATTTTTTAAAAAAATATTTTATTTATTTTTACACAAAAGAACTAGGGTTCAGGTCAGAGATGGCGGGGGGAGGGAAGGTGAGAAGATTCACCACAAACAGAGAAGGGAGCAGAATAGGCAGATCCACTGAAATACACTGCTGAGCAAGTGGGCAAGACAGGAGAGGTCTACTGTGCCATGTGGGTTAGCTCCCTGGTTGGTTCATGGTGGGCCTTCAAGGGTGGTAGCACTCAGACTTTGACCCCTAAGTCACCTGAGAGGCTTTCCATCAGTGCCAAGTTATGCTTGAGTGACCAGATTTTGCCTTCCTAAAGGTGGCATGAGAAGCACTGGAATGTGTTAGCCATGGACCTTGCCATGGGCCTTTAGTAAAGTCCCTATCTCTTCAGGATCATCCTCCTCATATCTAAAATATAGAGACTGAGACAGGATGAGCTCTAAGTGCAGGAATTTATTGGCACCTAACAAAGTGAGAGGCATTCTCAGTGGACAGAGTATACCTAACACAGACAGGACAGGACCTGTCTTAGGCAGTTAGCATAGGGGGCTTTTTCTAAAGGAGAGGGAATTTGAATTAGAACATGGGAGAACAGGGAAAATTTAGATTACATCTATACCTGGGTATTAATAGATGCTGTGGTAGTCAGGATAATGGCACCCCAAAGATATCTATACCTCAATCTCCAGAATCTGTGAATGTTACCTTGTATGGCAAAAGGGATTTTGCATATGTGATTAAATTATATTTAAGATGGAAAGGTTATTTTGAATAATTCAAGTGAACCCATGGTAATCACAAGGGTCTTTATAAGAAAAAGGCAAGAAAATAAGTTAGCTATAAAGCAGGGGGAAGAAGCCCCAATCAAAGAAATTCAGGCAACCTCTAGAAGCTAGAAATAGGTTAACAGATTCTCCCCCAGAGCCTCGAGGAGAAAACATAGACCTGCTAACATCTTGACTTTAGCCCAAGGACCCATTTTGAACTTCTGACCTCCAGAATTGTAAGACAACAAATTTGTGTTTTTTTCTAAATTTGTCTTTATTAAGTCATTAAGTTATGGTGATTTGTGAATACAACTACAGGAAACTGATACAGATGCCCATTAAACAGCTGCCCAATCTCATAATAATCATTATCACATATTCTTAAATTCTAGGGAAAAGTCAATCTTTCTTGATGTCTTAGTTGCTTAACCGTAACAAGAGAACAGACTTACTAATTTTATTTCACTTTTAGAGCTCAAAGGTAAATTCAATCTTATTAGTTCCTGGAGAGTAGAGAATTTGTCCTATTCATATTAATTTATCTACTCCCAATGTCTGCCATAGTAAATATTTGTTAAATGATTGCTCAAGAGCCACCATCCACCCTCATCTAGGTTTTTTGGTGTCTTTCCCACATCCCAAAGCCCCATTATATCTTACTGTGTCCTTATACTACTGGCCCTGACATATAAGCCTTTGATATTCCCGGATTTAATATTTACTAGTTTAAATATTTATAAGTGACTCCAAAGCCATATGGTGACCTAACATTCATTGATGCAGCTGTGAGGGAATAAGACAGTTGGCTAGTGAATGAACCTAGCTGACGGCCTGATACCCCCAGCTCACCCCGATCTTGTCCCCAGCTCCTGGTTACAGAAGGAAAAATTTCACCTCATCCTGGTGAAATTCAGCATTTCCAGGAAGTGTCTTAACACTCCTTTCCAATTTGTCCCAGCCTTTGTCATTCTGACCAAGCTTTCTTTGGCATTATTGCTTACTTCTATCTATCACTTTAATTATAAAAAGAGCTATTGGAGGAGGGACCTCCTTTGCCCCTCAATAAGCAAGACTGTCCTGAAGACAGAAGATTCTACTACAGACCCGGATGGGATGCTTTAGGCATTAAGTATCATAAGTCTGAGCAAAGCTACTTGAAGTTTGATACATATTATATGGAGTAACTGTAGCTAGTAGCCCAAGCCCACCTGTGACTGGGTTTGTATGTCCATCTGAGCAAAGAGTGAAGTATTAACAACTTGTCTGAAGATTTAGACCATGTGCTTCAGCCCATCTTTTATCAATAATAAAGCAGGCACATTACTCCCCATCTCTCTGATTCCTGCATCTATCTCTCAATTGGTTCCAAACTCAGGTGAGGAAAGAAAGGCATATCAATTATTGATCCTCCTAGATCTTTAATAAAAACTCCTATTTGTTGAAGGTTTACACCATATCAGGCACTAGAATGGAGCTTTACACACATTATCTTTTTAAAATCCTCACCTATGTAGCAAAACAAATAGAATGATGGAGGTATACACAAACACCATTGTAACCAACGGCTTCAGAGGAGGGAGTTGAAGAGAATGAAAGAGGAAGTAAACTAGTGATACCAGAAGACAGGACAGTGGTCTGTAAATCCTTCACCAAACACAGAGTTCATAAACTCTCAATAAAAGAATGATGGTGGGGCTCTTTCCGTGCCTAGCGCAGCCATGGCTCGTGGTCCCAAGAAGCATCTGAAGCGAGTGGCGGCTCCAAAGCATTGGATGCTGGATAAACTGACCAGGGTGTTTGCTCCTCGTCCATCCACCGGTCCCCACAAGCTGAGAGAATGTCTTCCTCTAATCATTTTCCTAAGGAACAGGCTTAAGTATGCTCTCACAGGAGATGAGGTGAAGAAGATCTATATGCAGCGGTTCATTAAGATAGATGGCAAGGTCCGCACTGATATAACCTACCCTGCTGGTTTTATGGATGTCATCAGCATTGACAAAACTGGAGAGAATTTCCGACTGATCTATGATACTAAGGGTTGTTTTGCTGTTCATCGCATTACACCCGAGGAGGCAAAGTACAAGTTGTGTAAAGTGAGAAAAATATTTGTGGGCACCAAAGGAATTCCTCATCTTGTCACCCATGATGCTCGTACCATCCGCTATCCTGATTCCCTCATCAAGGTGAATGACACCATTCAGATTGATTTGGAAACTGGCAAGATTACAGATTTCATCAAGTTTGACACTGGTAACCTGTGCATGGTAACCGGAGGTGCTAACTTGGGAAGAATTGGTGTGATAACCAACAGAGAGAGACATCCTGGTTCTTTTGATGTAGTTCATGTAAAAGATGCTAATGGCAACAGTTTTGCCACTCGCCTTTCCAACATTTTTGTTATTGGCAAAGGCAACAAACTATGGATTTCTCTTCCCCGAGGAAAAGGTATCCGCCTCACCATTGCTGAAGAAAGAGACAAGAGATTGGCAGCCAAACAGAGCAGTGGGTGAAATGTTTACTAGGTGGATGGAAGAGTCTTGATGCTTAAATAAAGATGATACGGCATGATTTAAAAAAAAAAAAAAAAAAAAAAAAGAATGATGGTGGGGCCTCCCTGGTGGCGCAAGGGGTTAAGACGCAATCTATGAGGCTGTCTGAGGCCTCTGCAGCACGAGTTCAATCCCCAGCTGGCCAGAGAGCAACCCACATGGCGCAGCAGACCTCTCCTGACTCACCTGCTGCTCCCCTCAGCAGTGTACTTCAGTCACTCTGCCTGTTCTGTTCCCCACTCTGTCTCTAGGGAATCCTCTCACCCCCCAACACCTCTGGCCTGTACCCCAGCTTTTGTATGCATAAATAAATAAATCTTTAAAAAAAAAAAAAAAAAGAATGATGGATAGACCAAACAGCTGACTGGCTAGTCTTTTATACAAGTCACCCTGGGTACATGAGACGCTGTTGTAAAAGTCTTCTTGATATGCTGGTTACCACAAAAGCCTCACTGAAGGAAGTGGGAAGGAGGAGATTCTATCGTCCTATAGTGGGAGTTCCTCCCACTGTGTTCCCTGACAGGTGAGCTGGTGTGATGAAGAACATCAGCTAAGTAAGCCTTGTAAATTGTGAACAGAATTGAGTCTGAAACCCAACGCAAGCCTGGGGATGAGACCTAAATCACAGTTCAGTGATTCCTGAGCTCTGAGTCTTAGTGCCTGAGTTTGAAACAAGTCTATTCTTTGCTTCAGGGTTCTTACCACAAATGAAATTGGTTATGTTTTATTCATGTACTCAGTGTCTATGCCCCCTACTAACATGAACTCCATGAGGGCAGGATGGGTGTTTCCCCACACCGAGCACAATGCCTGGCACAGAGAGAGCACCAGATAATGTTTACTGAATGAGTGAAAGAATGAAATTTACTATTCAGTTCCACACAAATAACTTCACATCTCTGACCTTAACCAGCCATTCTTTAAAGAGGTAACTACCCCCCTGGGTGAAAGACACAAAGAATGGTTTACATATAAGTAGGATTCACGGGCCTCCCTGGTGGCGCAAGGGGTTAAGCACCACACTGTGAAGCAATCCACAGCCTCTGCAGCATGAGTTCTATCCCCAGCCAGCCAGGGAGCAACCCACATGGTGCAGCAGACCTCTCCTGCCTCACCTACTGCTCCCCTCAGCAGGGAGTATTTCAGTGTATCTGCCTGTTCTGTTCCCCACTGTCTCTGGTGAATCCTCTCACTCTCCACACTTCTGGCCTGTACCCCAGCTCTTGTATGCATAAATAAATAAATCTTTAAAAAAAATAAGTCGGATTCACATGGCTGACAATAGCCATAGATCTTCTGATCTACTCAAGATTTATTAGTTCTCCATGGGCTTTCTCTTCCATGTTTTCATTTGGTCTTCACAAAATCCATGAGGCAAGGAGAGCAAAGATTATTTTCATTTGACACTTGGGAAAATAGGCCAATGGAAGAAAAGGGTCAATCCAAGTCTCCTGTCTTCAGGAACCCTGGATTCCAGAGTCCTAGGTCTGCTCAGTCCTCCATAGACCCCCAGATTCTACCTTTGACCAGCGCCAGACCCAATAGCCGTGGGCTCCATGTAGAGATAAAAGCAGGCCCTCTCTCACTCTGCTCTTCCCACAGGTCTCCAGGGGTTGCTTGGCAACCAACACCCAGGAATAAGTGGCCTCCAGTCAGGTCTGTTGCTGTGGAGTTACAGAGTCTCCCTCCCTTCACACCTGTGTATATTCTCACTCCCTATTATTGAGACTTCTCCCCAACCCTCTCCTCCCCTGCAAGGGTTTCTTCTCTGATTCATAATAACCTCTCAGGAAAGAGAGGGGGCTCTCAGGGACCAATGTGGCAAGGGACCCCCAGGGAACAAAACACTATCAGTGTCCTCATTGTCCCACATCCCCAGAGATGATAGAAACTCCTTTTGTGAATGGTCCCGCTCAGTAATGCTCATAACCTCTTCATCTCCCCTCTCCACTTTCCATCCTGAAAATGGCTTTCTGAAGTGCCCAGGGAGAAACTGAATGGGCTGGAAAAATTAAATCTACACCTCAAACAGTGCTAGTGAATTCCTAGATGCTGTTCCAGTGCTCCTAGAGCCACAAGTGGGAAATGTTGGGAGGAGACCCGGTCACCCTTTGCTTGTGGCTCAAGAACAGAGAAAGAAAGGAAACTAACATTAATTGCATTCCTAATAGGTACCAGGCATCATTCTATGTTATGATGCCTGTAACATAGAGCCCCTTTAGAGTTGAGAGTATTATCTACTCACCACAGAAGTGAAGTGACTTACCAAAGCTCACACAGCTTTTAAAAAAAAAATCGCAAATCCCCAAATTTATATTGAAGCCCTAACCTCCCTTCCCCCACATCCAGTGTGGCTATATTTGGAGATGGGGACCCTAAGGAAGTAATTAATGTTAAATAAGGGCATAAGGATGGGGTGCTGATCCAGTAGGATTATAAAAAGAGACACTAGAGGACCTGCTCGCTTTCTCTCTAGTATACACACCAAGGAAAGACCTTGGGAGCAAACAGTGAGAAGGCAACTGTCTGCATCCCAACGGGGGAGCTCTCACCAGACATCAACCCTTGATACTGGACTTCCAATCTCCAGAACTGTAAGAAAATGAATTTCTATTGTGTAAGCCATACAGTCCATACTATTTGTTATGGTAGCCTGACAAGATGAGTACACTTAGTTTAGGTCCTTATAACTTATTCTAACCACTGGATTCTTGGCCTTACTTCCATCTACCTTCCAAACTGAAACCAGAGATTTTTCTAAAATGTAAATATGCCCTTGTCAATGCCTTCAGTGCCTGTGGTGAAGGTCTCCAAATTTATACCCAGTAAACGAGAAAAACATAGGCACAGTACCCACAATACTTGTATAGTTATTTAGATTTTATGCCTGTACATACATATATACACATATGTATATGCTCTGTACACAAAAGATGTTAAAACACATTAAAAATGAAATACATTTAAATTTACAAACAACACAAAACTTTTTGCTACAGAAAAGCACATGCAACCTTTTTGCAAATTATTTTTTAGACAAAGCAATCTGATTAACTATGTCATATCTAATTAGATCATCATTGATTTTTGCCTTGGAATATGGCTGACAATGAACTTGTGCTGGGCGTCAGAAAAGCATCACTTCAGCCATTTTCTGGGCTCACTATAATCAGTACAGTCTTCAATCAGAGGTTTCAATCAGAGGTTTCTTTGTAGGACTCTTTTATGGCACGTATCCCTTGTGAGGGTTCATTTAGTTAAAAGTAGGTAGGATAATCAATAAGATTATTCTTCTTCCACTTAAGAGGAAGACTGCAAAAGCTCTCGCCATGGGCTGAAAATGAATGAAAGAGTGCCAGGCACCATCTCTGCCAATCCCTTACAAGGGCAGAACAATCCTCTCCTATCTGAAGATTTTTTCAGGGGTAGGAAATGTGACCATCTGATGCAGAGATCAAACAAAGACATCTGTGTTACTTCATATTGTAAAAATGTATTTTATATTCACAGATAAAAATAAACTCTAATAATAGTTTCTTCAACTCCCTAAGGAGTCACCAGGCGTGTACACTTTGGCCCCTGGCAAGAACCTTCTGCTTGTTGTACATGGCCTCCCTGACTCCAGTCCACCCCCAAATAGCCTCTCCAGCAGACTTCCCTCCCAGCACCCCCTCCCTGCTCTTACGAAGCCTTGCTCCAGTTTCACTGTATTGCTCACATGCCCCAAATATCCTGTGCTTCACCCCCCTCGGTGCATTGGCTGCAAAAATGATGTGAGATAACACAAGTGGAAGCACTTGGCACATAATAGTACTTAATAATGCTTATTGATTCTCACCATGAGGTAGTTAAACTAAATCAGTAGTTCTTTAATTTTAGCCTGCCTCAAAACCACCTGGAAGGCTTGTTGGAACACAGATTGTTGGGCCATAATCCAGAGTTTGATTTACTGGGCTGAGTGCAGGCTGGGAATTAGCATTTCCAACAAATTCCCAGGTCACGTCGATACTGATGATCTGGAGATCATACTTCTAGACCCTGTGAACTAGATGATCTGTATGGCTTCCTCATTTCTAATGATATATAATTCTTCAATGCCTTTAATAGAGAGTAACTTTTAGGGGGCGGGGGGGGAGGGATTGGGGTCAAAATAAAGGGGTTGCAATTGTTTGGGGAATATAAAAATAAAAAAATTTAAAAATTTAAAAATAAATAAATAAATAAAAATGAACTGTTACAGAAATATGGGTTCCACAAGGCCTACCAGGTATTGTATAGAAAAAAGACATGTAATTTAGAATCAGGAGGTTGAAATCCCACTTGGTATTTGTTTGGGTTGACCTAAGGTCAGTTAATTAACCTCTAAATCTGCATTTTCCCCCTGCAAAACAGGAGTGTTTTAATTGTTTTTCTATTTGTCTTTTTTTTTAAGATTTATTTTATATATTTATGCATATAAAAACTGGGGTGTAGGCCAGAGGTGTGGGTGAGAGGATTCACCAGAGACAGAGTGGGGAGCAGAACAGGCAGATGTACTGAAACACACTGCTGAGGGGAGCAGTGGGTGAGACAGAGAGGTCTGTGGGTAGCTCCCTAGCTGGGGATCGAATTCATGCCACAGTGGCTGGCGATTGCTTGATAGCTTGATAGCGCTGAGACTTTAACCCCTGTGCCACCAGGGAGGCCCCTTTCTTTTCTTTTTAATTAATGGTATACTATTATTTTATATCCTTGTTTGCTTTTTCTCCCCTCAGGTGTAGTCACGATAGTTTTCCCCCCACTTTGGCACCCACAAACCTCCACCATAGTCAATTCAGGAGTGTTTTGGGTTTTTGTTTATTTGTTTTTGCTTTTTTACATTTTAAAGGGACAGGTTTACTAGGAAAAGAAAAAAGAGACACTTGCATAGATACAGATGGGGAACCCTGGAGAAGAGCTGCCCAAGAATGTTTTAAAATAATATCTGCCCTGGGCCTCCCCCATGGTGCCGCGGTTGAGCGCTGGGTTGCGAAGCTGCTCACAGCCTCTGCAGCGCCGGTTCGATCCCTGGCTGCTCCCCGGCCACCGGAGGAGGGTCCCACATGGCTTGCAGACCTCTCCTGCTGCCCGCTGCTCCCCTCAGCAGTGTACTTTGGTCCTTCTGCCTGCTCTGCTCCCCGCTCTGGCTCTGGTGAATTCTCTCACCCTCCCGCGCTTCTGACTGTACTCAGTGCTTGTATAAATAAATAAATAAATAAATAAAAAAAATAATAATATCTGCCCCATTGTGTTATTGTGAGATAATATTAATATATGGAAATAGTTCATAAAAACAAAAAAGTACTATAGACAGACTATGCCAATAAGATATATTCATAATGTACCAATGTACATTTAATACCTCGAATGGACGAATAATAATACATGTTTTAAATATTTTAAATCACTAAATTTTCAAAATTTCCAATCTCAGTGCTAATTTATTATTGAAAAGTATATTATCTACATGTTTTTATGTCATCCCAAATCAATGTATGTATGTATTTTATTAGCACCATCAGAAGATACAAATAAAAGTTTCTGAGATAACCAGCTTCCAAGATGGTCCTCAATGATTCCTTTCCTCTTAGTGTTCATACCCTTATGTAGTTTCCTTCTACAGTGAGTCCATGATAGATAGAATGCTCTAAGGCTAAGTAATAAGAGACTTTGCCACTTACTGTTTGGTTTCTTGGCTGTCTTCACTTGGGAAAAGCCAATACCAAAGCCAAGACACTTCAGCAGCTCTATGGAGAGAGCCAAATGGGAAGGAACTAAGGCCTCCTGCTACTGGCCAAAATCAGACTTGGGCATAATCCTCCTTGGGAGGTCATCCTGCAGCCCCTCTCAAGCCTTCAGTAACCTCAGGAAAGGCTATAGGCCAGAAACCAAACTACTCCTGACAATTTAATCCACATAAACTGTGTGATAATGAGTTATCATTGTTGTTTTAACCCATCAAGTTTTGAAGAGATTTGTTACCTGTCTATAGATTACAGATAGAGTTGCTAGCATTTATTGTACATTTACTATGCTTTGGGAACTATGCTAAACATCCAACTCACCTATGCTGTAGATACTATTATAATTGCCAGAGGAAAGGGTGATACAAGAGATGTTTAGTAATTTAGTCAAGATTCCACGACTGATAAGTTTCAGAACTAGAATTTGAACCCAGGTCTCTAACTCCAAAGCCCAGATTCTTGCTCACTCATTTGTATAGGCTAAGATAAATCCTCTTGCATAGTTCAGCAGCAGAAGGAACCAAGACCCCAGAGGTAATCAAACTTGTATAAATTCAGCAAGGGACATCCCACGGGTCAAATCTGAAACAGCACTGGTATCTGAAGCCATAAGATCCACAAGATCCAACCTGGGCTCCCAGCCCTTTTATCAGCAGACTAGTTACCTCCCAGGACAGTCCTTCACAAGATGCCCAGGACTCACCCATATCTGCAGCTTCACTCGCTTTTCATGGCGATAAACTGTCTTCACCTTGAAGTCGATGCCCACGGTGCTGACAAAGGCTGGGGTAAAGGTGTCATCCGCATAGCGGAAGAGAAAGGAGGTCTTGCCAACACTGCTGTTGCCAATGATGAGCAGTTTGAACATGTAGTCAAAATTCTGGTCAGAAGCATCTTTGACTCCAGCTTTACCATCAGTTACTGAAGCCATCTGCAGAAGAGACACAAACCTCCATTATCACTCTGAGTCACCAATCTGTTAATGGTCACTCTGCCATACACATACCCACTCTCCATCCCAGCATCACTGAGGAAATGCACACAACTCAGAATCACCCCATCACTGCACCTACCCCAAATGTCTCAGAATTGGGGTGGGACCCAGCTCCTCCCACTCTTCCTTAGTAAATATTTACTGAGCACTTTACTTGGGTTAAGCCCTGTGCTGAGAATGAGGAAAACAAATATGAATCAGACATAGTGTCCAAAGTCTGAGTGGCCACAGATAAGAGTTTGAAAAAGCACGTGAATCTAGAGGAACAAAGCAGCATATAAAGGATAAATCAGAAGGAAACTCTGGCTGAGAAAATCCCCAAGAAACATCTAACTAAATCTGGAGACAATGGTGGTCTAGGAGAGTGTCCTGTAGGAGGAAGTTCCTGAACTGACTTTTGAGGGGAAAAAGCCAAAACAGCAAATGCATGAACATTTCCAGGAAAGATCCAGTTCAGACTCCTAGCTCCAAAGATCAAGCCCAAATGGTTCAATTTGACTGAGAACCAACTAACCAAAGAATAAACACCCTTTATCTTTCCCTAAGCCTTTTCCCCATTAAACTGAACAAGTTTATTCTTTGGGAACTGTTATAAGACTAAAATGAGAAAACAATGATTAAGACCTAAGTAAAATGGTAAATCCAACTCATGTGTGAACATAAGACATCATTATTCAGAATCCTTTGGCACCTAGACCTTTTATTTATTGGTCTATTCATTCATTCATTCATTTTGCAAGTATCCATAATATGCCAGGCCTTCCCTGAGACCTCAACCCTTTCAGACCTGCCACCATCCTCTCCTACTCTAGAACATCTCACAATCCAGCATTTGGTCCCATTGGCTTAGTCGAGACTTTCATTGCTTCTTCTACATGTTGCCAGCCACAGGTTATCCTGCTTCTCCACCTGTAATCCTTCCTTGTGTTCAGCACTTGAGCACTCAGATGGGTGAATAGTCAGAGGGCAGGAGGACAACCCTAACTTGAAATAATGTCCAGTATGTGGTTTTCTTTAGGAATTTTTGCTTTTTTTTTCTCCAAAGGAAATTAAAGGGAGTAAAACTGGTGGATTTAGCACCATGAGATTATCATAGGAGCTGTGAGGATATGGAGCTGACAAATGCAGAAGGTTTAAAGATCTCCTGAAGAACAGTCAGACCTCTATGTTGGGTAAGCTGCCCTGGCCCTTAAATGGGCCGCCATTGGCCTCCAGGTCCTCTGTTCTTCCTTCTCTTTCTCCCCAGCTCTCAAGCCTTTACCTGAGACCCTCAGCTTGGCAGGTATACAACATGTCACTTTGAAAGAAGAAAGTGACACTGAAGAGAAAAACGACTTCCCTGCTTAAACTGTCTATAATCCTAACTTTTCAGTTCTTTGTGGTACAAGATATGGTACCTGTTTAAGGAATTGGTAATTCAAGCAAATTCTGCTTTTCTTTTTAACCCAAAACATGGCAAGTAACCTCACACTATCCCCTATTCTGCTGCCAGTCATCTTTCTTTGTTTACACGAGAAATTTCCTACTATGAAAGTACATAGCAATTATTTTTAAATTAGAAAAATACCACAAAAGTGTAGAAAAGTTTTAACTACCTGACATTCTACACACTCAGAGACTGCCATGGTTAACTGTTTCAGTGTATTTTCTCCCTTACTTTTATGTAACAAAGCACCATCTATTTTTTTGTTGTTAAAGATTTATTTATTTATGCATACAAGAACTGGGGTTTTTGTATGTGTCACAGAAACTGGGGTGTAGGCCAGAGGTGTCGGGGGGTGAGAGGATTCACCAGAGACAGAGTGGGGAGCAGAGCAGGTGGACTGACTGAAATACACTGCTGAGGGGAGCAGCAAGTGAGACAGGAGAGATCTGCTGTGCTAGATAGGTCAACTCCCTGGCCAGGGATCCAACTCATGCTGTGGTGGCTGACAGTAGCTTGAGACTTTAACCCCTGCGCCACCAGGGTGGTCCAGTGCCATTTATTTTTTTTAAAGATTTATTTATGCATACAAGAGCTGGGGTACAGGCCAGAGGTGCAGGGGCAAGGGGCAGGTGAGAGGATTCAGAGAGACAGAATTGGGAACAGAACAGGAGGCAGATCAACCGAAACACACTGCTGAGGGGAGCAGCGGGCGAGTCAGGAGCTGCGTCATGTGGGTAGCTCCCTGGCTGGGGATTGAACTCCTGCTGCAGTGGCTGCAGACAGCTTCATAGGTTGCTTTTTAACCCCTTGCGCAACCAGGGAGGCCCGCCATCTATTTTTAAATTAGATCTTATTTGTTCATTTAAAAGATCAGATACACATTAAATGTAATTCAAACAAACTTTTACTATTTGCAAGGACTTCTTTATCACCATTTGTTATCTGTATTATTTTCTTAATTGTTAGCATGTAAGTAATACAGTAACAAAATAAATTAAGTCCTACCTCTACCCCTGATTCCCAATCTCTAGTTCCACTTCCTTCCAGTTTCCCAGAGGCAAACATGTTGCCAATCTATGTATCCTTCAGAGAAAATCTTTATATATATAAGCATAATTTATGCTTTCTGTACTGTTTATACTTTCTATCTAATATAAATGATAGTAAACCATACATTCTAGTCTATATCATATAGACATATTTAATAGCTGAGACCAAACTTATTATTTTTGTATCCTGCTCCTTTGCAATTAACATTATATCATAAATATCTTACTAACACAAGAAAAATCTCCATATCATTTCAATCAACTACATTACATTGCATCCTATGTGTCACATGATCAAATCTTTAATGTTGTACATTTATTTTGTATTATTAATATTATAAATTAAGCCATAATGACCCTTTCCTTACATAAATATTTGTTCACTTTTCTATTTATTTCCTGAGGAGAGATTTCTGAAATGGAACTGCTGGTCAAAGAGAACCTTTACCAAAACACAAATTTGATCCTTACCACAATTTCATGTCCTTTATCTATTTTATCCTGTAAATAAGCCTGGGAAATAAAACTGCAAGGACATAATTTATTATTCTCATTTGGTCAAAAAGGAAACCAAGGGCCAGAAATAAAGAGGCTTTGCACAATCCTCACAGCTAACAGCTGAGACTAGACCCGGTACAGCATTGTGTTATGGGAAAGTTTACAATCCCTGTTCTATTCCTCAACTGAATTCTTGGGCAAATTATATCCCCTCTCAAAGGCATAGCATTTCTCTGAGAGAAAATACCACCTACTTCACAGATCTTTGGTATAAAGAGAATGAGCAGTTACCATATGTAAGTAAATCTGGCACGGTTTCTTGGCCCATGGGAAGTACTCAATATATATTATTTCACTGGCCCATTTAATTTACTTCTGCAGTCAAATCCTATTCAACTGCCCTCCCCATGATCTGGATTCCATTATTTGAGATCATTTTCCAATGAACTGTCTGCTTCCCCTTTGGGATTCAGCTGAGTTTTATCAATCCTTACACCCTGACAACATTGGACAAACAATAAATTCTTATGGCAAATGACTCCTTCCAATAAACATTTATTGAACATTTGCCATGTGCCAGCATATCAATGTAAATGTCATAGCATTGGTCTTCATGTTTCTGATGCAGCTGGCTTTATATTCAGACTATTAGAATGAGAAGGAATTTTGGAATGGCAGCTTTATCATAACAAAAACCTGGGTTATTGCTCCCCTTCCACCCCCTTCTTAGTAATTCAGTGACTTGGGCGTCATTTGAACTCTGAGCCTCAGTATCCTCATCTATGATATGATAATATTACCTACCTCCAAGGCCACTGTGAATTGTAAATAGGAGAATACACATAAGCACGCTTCATGCATACACTGTGTTGAGAAAAATACATTCTTCTAGAATCAGCAGGAAGAGTGTTTTGCTTTTATTAGCTATGTCTGCTGCAAGTGCAAGAGTGGGGAGTGAGACAAAAATGAAAAACAATTTCAGTGCCTGATCTGATCTACTCCCCTTCATTTTACAGTTTAAAAAAATATAGAGGCACCACAAAAAGAAAAGAATTGTCCAAGGTCACACAGTAAATCAATTGAGAGTCAAGACTAGAACATCTGTTAGCTATTGACTCCCAGATTGAACTAAGCTTAGGAAAAATAAAAAGCACAATTTTAGGGTGAGTAAGAAAGCATGCTGAGCATCTTTTTCCTAGCTCCTGCCACACCATGCAGTCAACATCTGTTTAAGTATACACTGCATAGCTTCCCCAGTCAATGGTGTGAGAATAGGGAGAGTAGAGGCCCCAGGGGTTCTGTGGAAGGCATGTTTGGATGAAAGCCCCCCAGGAGATCTTTTCTTTTCAGGAGGGGGTAGTGGCTACCCAGACATTTGGAGGACAGGCAAGTATCTCTGTGGGTAGCCCCCTGAGGCAGATCTGAGCAGACAGGTCCCTGCACAGTGGCGTGTGCAGACAGGCATTTGCAAGATAAGCATCAGTCAGATCTTTCCTCTCTTTTGTGACAGTCGCATAAATGATAGAGCCTGGTAGCTCACTGTCTCCGTGACTAGCAATACAGATGAAGGCCCGGGAACCATCTGGGAATCTTTCCTGGTCCCAGGATAGGGGAAAGAAGGAAAAGGCTCCTCCAAGGGTTGGTGTGAAAAACAAATAACCCTTTCAGTCTGATAAGCAACAGAAATAAAAACCTAAGGAAAAAGCCAGGAAAGAAGCAAGGGAGGAAGAAAGCCCTGAAATCAAGCAAGAAGAGATCAACTCAATAAATGCAGTTAAGTAAATGGATAAACTTCTCTCTTGATGGAAAGAGCACAAGACTGAGTCAGAGCGACCTGGATTAAGCCCTGGTTCTCTCAGCGATTGTATAGCCTTAGGCAGATCACACTTTGGGCCTCAGTCTCCTCCATCTATAAGATAAAATAACTCCTGGCAAACTGTTCTAAGAATTAAAATCAATACATGGGAAAATGTTTTATAAACCCCGTAAAATACATCTTATCTGGGCCTTCCTGGTGGCGTAAGGGGTTAACTTTCAGACTATAAAGCTCTCTGCAGCCACTGCAGCACCTGCAGCACGAGTTTGATCCCTGGCCAGGGAGCTACCCACATGGGGCAGCAGACCTCTCCTGACTCGCCCACTGCTCCCCTCAGCAATATATTTCAGTCAATCTACCTGTTCTATTTCCCACTCTGTCTCTGGGGAATCCTCTTACCACCACCCTCACATCTCTGGCCTGTACCCCAGTTCTTGTATGCATAAATAATAAGTTAATTTAAAAAATACATCTTATCTGTACATTTCATGTTTTCTCCTACCAACTGACCCTGGAAAGATTACGAGTAATGTTGGTAAAGCACCTAGATAGTATAGAACATTTAGCAGGTACTCAATAAATGGAATTCCATCATCTTATTGGGAAATATCTACTGGTGAGAATAGGAGGGAGTCAGATAACTGTGGATCTCACCCTACTATATGCAACCGTCTTCCTAAAACCACAATCTACTAACTTTACTAATTTAACCTTTCTTTAGACAATTCTCTCTGCCAACCCATCACCACCAGCCCAGCTCAGCCAAATCCAGCCCAGCTCAGCCCAACTCTTCACTGTTTCACCCACATCTTTTATAGACAACAGAAGCTATTGTGATAGCTGCCATTTATGGAGCACCTACAAAATGCCAGATATTCTACTAGGTGCTGCCATTGTATTCTATCTTTCCAGAATGTAGGCAACACCTGCATAATTACATCAGTAGTCTCTGTCTTGTGTGCAGTGCTTTCCAGTTTACAAATCTCTTTTCACCCACTTTATCATGTTTGCTTCTCACAACAATTATTGGGGTTAGATGAGGAAACTGAGACAGGAGAACACCACAATTCAATTGTCCAGCATTCATTGAGCTCCTGTGATGCAGTCTGGGGAGATGGAGAACCACAAGGTTAGAGAGAAAGCTACTGAAACATCTTCTATAGATTACTGATGCCACCCTTTACATCATAATCCTTAAAAAGTGGAGATTTATATCTTAAACAAAAGATCACTTCAGCTTTTCCCCATATTGTTTCTTCTGATAATAAATATACACACCTCCACTGCTAGCTAAATCCTTCATAACCACGAAGTATTCACAGACCCACCCTCTGGCAAAACATCTTTTCTCTGGCATACATAGCGCCAGGGCTCCCACTACCATAGATAGGTCTTTTTCATGGACTTCCAATGTCTTCCGCCCATTATAGGCACAGAACAGGTGGGTATCCACCTGCGCACACACCCAATCCACTCTTTTTACTATCCTCCACCCCTTGCCATCTGGATTCTGAGAATCTGGGAATGGAGGACCCTCTCTCTCCAGCTCCCCTCCACAACTCTATCAGCTTCCAGACTGCCACCCAGCCTTCCTTAAAAGCCCTTCCCACACTTAGATTCCAGAACAGAGATGACCTATGGATGAATCTTTCGGTCCATCATTCTCTTCTTGTCTGTGATACCAGGTGGCAGTGTAACAGGGCCCAGTGCCCGTGCCCACTCCTCAGCCTTCTGAGATGCTAAGATACAGCTAGTGCTGAAAACCCAAGGACTCTACTCTGGGCCCCCATATCTTTCCACTCTCACACCACAAGCCCCACCTGGCCTCTCCCTCAACCAGATCCAGTGTATCTACCACCCTAAACGCTCTTAAGTTCCCTAACAATTCCTTCACTCCCAGCCACCAGACCTCTGCTCCATTCCAGAGCCTCCATTCCCCTCATGCCCATCCCTGGAGGGAGCTCAGACACCCACTGCCCATATCCAAGGCCATTGGCCTCTCCCTCTGCCAGCTCCCCATCCCCTGCCTCTGCAGTCTGGGTAGACACAGTCTGGATTGCCTCCCATCTTCCCGTTCTTCCAAGATTTCCACAGGCAAACCCCACCCATTTCCCCCCCTCAAGGTTACTCCCCTTGCCCTTACCCAGCTCTACACCCTTTGGCTCCCAGCTCTCCGTACTCTTGTCTCTTCATCCCTTTACCCTCTCTCCATCAGCATCTCCCTCCTGCCCAGGGCCCCTTCACCTCATCACTTCACTGCTCTTCACCTCAAATGACCATACCCCCAACCCAGTGCCCTTCCAATTGCTCTTCACCTCCACTCCCTTCCCTGGCCCTCGCGCCCCTCAATCCTCTCCTCTTCACTGTCCCTGGGCTTCACTGTCCCTCACTGCCCCCTCTCAGCTCCTTCCTTGCATTTTCCTGGCTCCCAACGACCCCCACCCGGGATACCCCCCCCCGCCCCCCGCAACGATCCCTCACTGTGCTCCAGTAACCACTCATCCTTTTCACCCCAGGCCCGCGCCCTCTTACTTGTCCCTCACTCTCGCTACCCCCGCCCTGAGAGCTCCCCCAGCGGCCTTCACAGTCCGAGTAGACGCCCCTCAGCGCCCCCTCCCCAGGCTAAGCGACCTTCCCTGCCACGGAGCCCCGTCCTCGGCGGCCTCCCTCAGCCTCTTCTGCTCGGCCTTCACTCCGTCGCCTCGTGCTCCTCAGCGCTCGCTCGCCGTCCCTGGCGCCCCGCGCCGGGCTCGGTCCCTGTGCTCAGCCCGCGGGGTGCAGCGGCCGCGCCCCTTACCTGGGACTCGGGTGCGGGACCAGCGATCGGTTCCCTGTGAGAACAGCGAGGCCGCGGGAGCTGGCAGCGGGCGGCAGAAGGCGCAACCAGGTTCTGGAAGCGGGTGGTGCCGGGTGATGTGGGTCGGGACTGGTCCCCACAGCGGCGACTTAAGGATGAGGCTCCCGCTACAGCTCTGCTCTGCTAGACAAGCCAGGTCCCGGCCCCACCCACGCCCCGCCCAGGGGCGGGGTCCATGCTCGTCCCGCCCCCTACCTCTCCCGGACCCCCGTTTTGGGCAGGTGTAGGGAATCTGAGGATATCTTGGGGGACCCGCACTCCCCAACTTCTGGATGACTATTAGGGTTCATCTTAATTCTCACACCTCGTTCCATAGACTTAACTTACTAGAGTTATCAGGGAGATTTGATGATGAGGTGTTGATAGATGAGTGTCCTGCCTGTCCATTATATGGCCTCATGTTCACAAAGCTCAGGGAGAGAGAGGCAGAATCTAGACGACTGACTAAGGAAACTAAGACAGAAACCCGGGCATTGTCCTTTACTCTATCAGCCTGATAACAACACCTCCTTAACTGACCCTCTCCCTGTCCTTCCTCTGCATCTCCCCAGCTGTGACCCTCACCCTGGTCAGGCCTCATCACTTCTTTTTTTTTAAAGATATATTTAATTAATTAATTTATGCATACAAGAGCTGGGGTGTAGACCAGAGGTGGGGGAGTAGGGATGGTGAGACGATTCACCAGAGATAGAGTAGGGAGCAAAACAGGTGGATTGACTGAAATAAACTGCTAAGGGAAGCAGCAGGGGAGTCAGGAGAGGTCTGCTGTGGCATGTGGGTTAGCTCCCTGGCCTGGGATTGAACTCCTGCTGTGGGGGTTGCAGAGAGCTTCCTAGTGCTATGACTTAACCCCTTGCACCACCAAGGAGGACCCCTCATCACTTCTTACCGGCCCTAAATAATAACCTTCTAATAGGCCTCACTGCCTCCACTCTACAAATCGTTTTCTACACCAGCAGCCTGAGTGATTGTTCTAAATGTCATCATGTTACCATCAACCCTCTTAATACAAAAACAAAAACTTTCCATGACCCCCTCCCCCATTACCTGCATTAGTTTGGAGTAAGAAAAGCTTCTTTCCTGGTCATCAGGAAGTTACAGCTCTGTCAGGCCGAGGCAGGTACAAGAGGTAATTAACATCCCAACCTCCCATCCTGACCTAGACTTCACTTCAAGTCTTCTGAGATGACAGGAGCCAGCTGCTAGCTTTGGTTTAGAATCACTGCCCTTTCCCCTACTGTCTCCCCACCCTAATCTTAGAGATCTCAGTCAGATACCATTTCCCCCACAATTCTGTGATGAATCTTCATGTAGTTTTTCTCTCCAACCTGGAAAACTACCCAACTCACAGCCCCTCCGGGTTCCTGATTTCTCTGTCTCATCCTTTTACTATTGTAGCCCCCTCCTTTTCACACTCCTTCCCTGTATCAACCTCTCTGAAAGCCCTCTCCACTATGCCTTCTAGAACCCTGTTCCTTTGTCAATAAACTCTCCTACACCATCTGTTTCTTCAATGAGTACTCAAGTTACTTCTTTGCCTTTATTGAAACTTGACCTCCTCCAGGACTCTTCTTATGGTTTCTCACTTTCCTACTCCCAACTCATCACAAAGCCAAAAATTCAGGTTGAATTGCCACTTCCACCTTTTACAAAAATTCCATTTTCTTTGTTCTCCAGTCATATCACCTTCTATCCCTCAGGATATCCTGGGCTCCCAATTGTTCATTTTGTGATGAGAATTCCATTTTGTGATGAAATTCCTGGCTCATGGTTGTCCTCACCAACCCCATCCCACCATCTCCCTGATGACTTTAGTAGCCATGTGGTTTCCTGGTTCCTCAGTCTTTGGTCTCCTCTTCATATCACCTCAGCTGACAGCTCCCCTGATCACACCCTGAACTTTGTAATCACCCAGAACTAATATCTCTGTGATCTCAAAATCAAGTAGCACACATTGCCTGTTCCTTCACTCCCTTTCTGCCACAAGGCCCTAGTTTCCTCATTTCAAAATGGGTGTGATGATAATGATTATTCATTCTTCATGGGAATAATGAGATGACATATAAAACATCCTTTCAAAGCTGTGAAACAATATGAGAACAGATGGTATTGCATTTACATAGCCTCAGGTCTTTGATTACTCTTTTTTCTCCTTCCCTTGAAAGGCCATGTAGTAGAGTAGAAAGAGTGTGTTCTTTGTGTCCAAAGAGTGCTTGGGACCAGATCTCATTTTTTAGCCCATGTTCTACCACCTGTTCTTATGCAAATTATCTCATTTTTATGACACACACACTTCATCCTCATTTGTGGAAACAGCAGTAGTGAGAGCTACCTGTCTCCCAGAGTCACTAAGGAGATTAGATAAGAAAGTGAGGTCAGGACCTCCTTGGTAGTGCAGAGATTAAAGTTTCAGTGCTATCAAGCTATCTCCAGCCACTGGGCATGAGTTTGATCCCTGGCCAGGGAGCTGACTCACATGGCACAGCAGACCTCTCCTGTCTCACCCCGCTGCTCCCCCCAGCAGTGTATTTCAGTAGACCTGCCTGTTCTGCAAACTGCTCTGTCTCAGGTGAATCTTCTCACCCTGCTCCTCACACCTCTGGCCTACACCCCAGTTCTTGTATGCATAAATAAAAATAAATCTTAAAAAAAAAAGTGAGGTCACTACTGGAAAACATGTGATAGAGTGCCAGGTGTATAGTAAGCACTCAATAATAAAGACACACTATGGTCATTATAGTAAGAAAAAAATACTATTTAAAACCAGAAATGCCTTCCAAGAAGGGTAGACTCTCCTGCACAGAAGGTCCTTTTGTCTTAGTCAAGGTCTTGAAGAGTGTGGATATGTGTTTGAGAAGGAGGGAAATTAGATTGCTCTGCATAAAAAATGAAGAATTTGAAACTCACTAGGCAAAATGTGAGAGAGAGGTGATAAAGTTAGGATGGGAAAAAGAAAAAGATGAGTAAGAAAGTCAGTGTAGGTGTAGCTGATATATGGGTTAAGGGTCAGAAGAAACCATCTCGTGGAAGGTGGACAACAGAGTGTTTAAACACTGGAATGTCTAAAACGGGATACGTTGTTTGTCATGATATGATGTAACCACTTTCTTTGACTCTCAAGACTTCAGTAAAGGCCATTACACTCAGGAATGCTTTCTGAGAGAGAGCATGAGTGATTAGGGAAATTAAGCAATGGCCTTTGTTAGGTATGTGTTAAAAAAAGCAGACTAGAGACTTCTGTCTTTGAGTGCTCTGTAAATATGATAGTACAAGTTCTCATGGAATTTGTAGAAATCTGAGGGAGAGCTAGAAACTTACAAAGGTTAGACAATGTAAAAATTAAGGTTTAAACTCATAGCACTTTGACCATAAGGGGCAGACTGACCATATCTGACATTTGGGTTGCATAAATGATACAATCCAATTACCTCCCTATTGACTAGCAGGTGACCCCCAGAAAGAGCAAAATATGTCACATTATATTAAACTATCTTCATTTCCAGATCCAAATGCACAAGTAAGAAAAGGGAGAAAGACAAAAATTCTACCTTTTGTCTTGGATCAAATTGGCTAACAACTATAAAGATTAGTTACTAAAATGTGCTATACTTGTTCACATCTTTTACCTCAGTCCTCAATACAAACATGCAAAGTATTCATTGTCACCTTCTTTTTTTTTTTTTAAAGATTTATTTATTTATTTACACAAGCACTGGGTACAGTCAGAAGGTGAGAGGGTGAGAGAATTCACCAGAGCATAGTGGGGAGCAGAGCAGGCAGACTGACGAAGTACACTGCTGAGGGGAGCAGCGGGCGGCAGGAGAGGTCTGTGCACCATGTGGGACCCTCGCCTGGTGGCAGGGGATAAACCAGCGCTTAGCCGCTGAGCCACCGGAGAAGTTCTGTCACCTTCTTTTTATAGATGAGGAAATAGAAGTCAGAAAGATGAAGTGATTTGCCCGTGATCACAATATGGTAAATGACAGAACTAAATTCCAGATCTAACTCCAACGTCAGGTTCTTTCTATTAGATCACAGAATTTTGGTTGATCAGTGAATGCAATTGTAATTAAAAGTCCTACGAGCAATATTTTCTTAAATCTATTCTAGTTGTCAGAGTACTCAACCTTCTCCAGCTCCTGATTTTTACATGAAATATATAACTGATGCTTTTTATTGAATGAAGGACAGTCTCTTAGTAGCATAAGTGTGGACGTCATTTGGAATGTTCAAATCTTTACCAGGTGCAAATCTACATACCAGTGTGAGTTTCTCATGGCCAACCTGGGAGCGTAGGTGTGTAGACAGGTCAGGTGGTTTCATCTGACTCCTTCAGTGGATTGCCCCATGCAATGGGGGAGCTGGGGTAGGTACCAAAAGTCACCAGAAACTGTTAAGCAACTCCAGAAACACAAGGGTCAAGGAGAGGAGCAGAGGAAGATGGGGCTGAAAGATAGACAACGAGTCAGATGGTCTAAGACCTCATAAACCATGTTTGAGATCTGGGATTTCCCTTGCAAGAAAAGGTTTCAAATGATGGAGTAATACAGTTGCATGTGGATATAAGAAAGACAGCTCTGACCATGGTGGGTATGACACTTTGGAAAAGGGAGGGAGCAGGGAGATAGGAGAAGGGAACACAGTTAGAAATCGCTGAAATAAGCCAGGTGAGAGAGAAAGAAGACCAGAACTCATGTCATAGCAATGGGGAAAGTAGAAAGTAGAGGGACTTGACATGGAAAAAAATCCCTGGAGTTGGTGACAGGTTCAATAGGATATACAAGGGAGGGCCTCCCTGGTGGCTCAGGGGTTAAAGATAGTGTTATCAAGCTGTTGCCAGCCACTTCAGCAGTTCAATCCCCACAGGCCAGGGAGCAACACACAAGGAGCAGCAGTCCTTTCCTGCCTCACCAGCTGCTCCCCTCAGCAGTGTATTTCAGTCAGTTGCCTGTTCTGTTCCCCACTCTTTTCCTAGTGAATCCTCTCGCCCCCACCCACCACACACCCCTGGCCTGTACCCCAGCTCCTGTATGCATAAATAAATAAATCTTTAAAAAAAAAAAGAATATACAAGGGGGAAAAGGGGGATTGGTTAAAACAACCAAGTAAACAATCGAGCCACTCACTGATAACAGGAACACAGAAGTTGTTAGAGCTACGTAAGAAACCACTCCCCAAAATTTAGTGGCTTATAACAGCAAAAAATTATCTCTCATAATTTTGTCAGTGGTTGAATGGGTTTGTGGCTTGCTGGTTTTACTTTTAGTTCCAAGAGACATTCTTAAGCTTTGTTCAGCCTGAAGATGAGCTGGACTGTAAGGTTTGAGATGTCCTCATCCAAAGGTCTGGCAGCTAGTGCTGGTTAAGAGTTAGGTGTCATAGATCTCCATGTGGCTTCTGATCCACTAGTAGTCTAACCCAGTTTATGTGGTGGTCCCAGGGCTGCATACCAAGAAGGTGAATGTGTAAGATACAATCTCTTAAGGCCTAGTCTCAGAAGTTGCACAACATCACTGCATTCTATTGGTCAGCCCAAACCAGATTCAAAGAGGTAGAGAATAAACTCTGCATCTGATTGGGAAGAAGAGCAAAATCACATCACAAAGGATCATGGGTACCGGAAAGGGAAATCTATGATCTGTAACCATTCTACTACAAAAGTGACAATAGATTTGAATAATGAGGAAAATGATGAGTATCTTAAATGCCACTTCATGCATAATCATTGTTTCCTTCTCCATGAACATTTCTTCATTTGTAAAATAAATGAGTATGCTGGTACATTCTCTTCCTGGATCATATTATGAGGTAAAACTGGTTAACACAGCAGCTAGCAGAGGTGGAATTTGAGCCCTGCACACAGAAACATCCAACATGTGAATAGCCAGACCACACCTACCAACCCTTCTCCCTTATACATCTAACAATCCATCACCAAAGCCAGTACCTTCTACCTGCTGAGGGCTCTCCAGTCCAACCTTTTCTCTCCATTTTATGGCCTCAGCCTCCTCATTATCCTATCCCCACAATAGCTTCCTAGCTACTCCTGTAATCCACACTGTAGCAGAGGAGTCTTTCTAAAAGCCATTTAAAGTCCACGCCACCCCCACTGTTATACTCTGAAGTCCATCTGTTTAATATGCACATATGGTCCTTGTGGTCTAGTCCCACCCACACTCTAGCCCCAATTTTGGACACTGCCCCATCACACTCTGAGCTCCAACAGCATCAAACTACTTGTGGTTCCCTGAATGTGACCAGTTCCATAATGTTAAAAAAAAAAAAAAGAAACAACAGACCCAAAATGGAGTCATTCTTGCCACACCACCAATAAGCCTTAATATCTAACATAATTGTAGTTTCAGGCTCTCCCCAAAAGTTGAATTCTAAACCAAAAAATCTGGGATTTCTTGGTTAGCACTGGTGAGATAATTTACATTAAGCTCCCCCCACCTTCCTTTAAGGAAAAATTGGTTTGCCTGAATCTTTATTTTGCTAAAAACCTAGTCCTACACTCTTTCTGGCTATAAAACTTTCCATTTTGTGCAAGCCTTTGCAGAACCTTTCTACTTGCTAGATAAGGATGCTGCCTGATTTATGAATTGTTCAATAAAGCCAATTAGGTCACTGAATTTTATTGGATGAATTTTATTTTTTAACAATAACATTTCCATGAATTTGCATGAGTTTCCTCCTCTACCTGGAATATCATTCACTTTTTCATTTGTTAATTCATGACCACTCATCCACCCACCAAATATCTCCTAATTGTTCAAGGATAAATAACAAACAGTCCTTGACCCAAAGGACTGGTACAGGCTTTAAGATCTGGTACAAGCTCTAAGATCCACTAGATTGAGTTTCACAAGGCAAAGTTCACACTACTATCCTGGGTCATCCTTAGAAGGGGTCAGAGGATATTTGCTGAATAGGTATACAAATACTCACAATGGATTTCTCACATCTACCATCTCATTTAACATTCACAATAAACCTACAAAGTGGGCACTGACTCATACCATTTTGAATGTAAGAAAGAAATAACTAGCCCATGGTTTCTGAGCTACAGAAAATAGGGAAAGCCAGGACTAAAATCAGTCAAAAAATTGGCAAGACATGTATGACTTATCACTGTGAGACAAGAAAGATCAGCAGGGAGGAGCTGAGAGCTAGGCTAGTCCCAATGGTAAGTCTGGGATGCACAGTTGAGAATTAATCTGAGTCTTTAAGGATAAGTAGGAGTTAAACTCATGGCAAGCAAACCAGGTAGCTGGACCAGAATGAGCAAAAGGCCCAAATATGTTAAGCAATGTGAAGTCTTCAGGGGATTTTAAAGGTCATAAGTCTCTGGAAGCTCAAATGTGATGGGAATCATATCGATGATGAGTGAGTGGGAGAGCTAAGCCAGGTCAACCAGGGACTCTGGAACCACGCTTAGAATGATGGACTCAATGATCATGGTGTTGTATTACTGTTACAGGGTTGTATCCAGGGGTAAGATTCAGCCAAATTTGTACTTTAGGAAGAGCTTAGCCGCCACAATTGGACATGGATTGGAGGTTCTTAGATCCAGGGCACAGGGAGACCAGAGAGAAGGCTGTTGCAATGACTTCAAAAGAGAAATGAGATCTGAATTGGGAGATGCAGTGGTATTTAAGGGGATGAAATTAACAAGACTTGGTGGCTGCTGAGATATAGCTGGGGGAAAAGGAAATTGAGGCAACTAGGAGAGCTTTCTAACTGGGGTAGTATCATTCTCCATGGGAAAAGGAAATAATGGTCCAGAAGAAGGGAAACAAAAAGACCAGTGGTTAAAGCAACTGCACTGGTAATGACTATTGATTAATATCTTTATTTTATTCAGATTTAAGTAAGCCCACCAGCACCTCAATCAAGCCACACTCACAGAGCCCAGAACAGAATCTATCAACAGTACTGTCAATCCCCTTGTCTCTGCCTCCCCTACCCTCTGGGTCTCTCTTTACCTGGTTATTAAAAATGCAGGATACTCAGTCCATAACTTAACATCAACAGTGACTAATTAGCACTTGGTTTTAGTTCAAAACAATATTTGCTTAGAAGCCAAAGGAACCTGAAATTAGCCTTCTCCCACCAATCCAACATAGGTGCCCCTTTATAGCCTTGATAAGACCATCCCCAATGATGGAGAGACTACCTCCTACAGGGAAGACTGCTTTGTCTTTGGGCAATTCTTGTAGTTAAGAAAATCCTCTTCTTTGCTGAAATATTCCTAGACTTCATCTTCAGATCCTAGTTCTTTCATCATTATATCACTCATTTATTCCACAAAGATTTGTTGATTGCTAGTGCATGCCAACATTTAGCAGTGTCCTAGGCACAGAAAAAAACATGAACCTAACAGACAGAATCCCTGCTCATACAGAGGTTGTGAATCCTAGAAGAGGAGACAAATAATATATGTCAATAAAATATATTATTTTACTTAGGAATAAGCACATTTAAGGAAATATTCCGACGAGATGATGGGATAGAAAGTGGGTAGGCATAGGAATGATGTTAGAATGATTAAACAGGGAAATACTCTCAGAGGAGAGTGGAGATGACATTTGGGTTGAGACCTTTGATGAAGGAGAAGGAGTCAGCCCATTTTAGAGATGAGACTTGGTGGCTGCTGAGGGGCAATTTTCCCAGAGTGAGACCAATCCTAACCAATCCCAAAGCCTCCCTCTTGCAAGGTGCTTACACAGCTTTGACATGAGCACAGTTATAGTTTGTGGTCAGGGTGTTCACGTGGCAAAAAGTCCCCCTTTGGTCTCATCATTTATTACTCACCTCTGACCAGCCCCCTTTCTAATCCATCTCTGTTAAATAAGGGAATTTAGTTAAAATAAACCCTAAGGCTTTCTAAAAGTAAGCCAATGTGGAATTATCAAAAGGGCAAATGATTTGGTTTGGAATCAGAGAGGTCTGCGCTCAAATCTAACTTTCAGCATTCATTAGGTATATGGTGAATTTCTATGGATCACACAGGTTGCTCATCTGTAAAATGGAAAGAAGTATTATTTCACTGACTCTTTAAGAAAATTAATTAAAAGTGATAAAATATGTAAAATAGGTGGTGCATACTAGGTTATTTAAAAACATCAGCTACTTTAAGGGATCTGACAGCTTTTACACTAAGTCATTATGCTTGCCAGTGACTTCCCCCTGCAAATACATGTCCAGGGAACTGAGAAACAGTTACCACTCCCTTACAATCTGTAAGATAAGTCAGGTTGCCTTTCTAATTTTCGAAGTACATCTCCTTATTGTCTTTCTGCAAGGGCTTAAAGATGATGACTGGTAAATTAACCAGGTGACCCTTTGCAAAGGTTCAGTCTCAAACTCCCTCTTGTGCTCTAAAGGGGAACTACAATCTCTTGCATATAGGGACTGAAAATATGGAAACTGGGCCTCCCCAGTGGCGCAAGGGGTTAGGCAGCGCACTAAGAAGCAATCCGTAGCCTCTCCAGTTCGATCCCCGGCCGGGCAGGGAGAAACCCACATGGCGCAGCAGACCTCTCCTGTCTCGCCCGCTACTCAATCTGCCTGTTCTGTTCCCCACTCTGTCTCTGGTGAATTCTCTCACCCTCTGCACCTCTGGCCTGTACCCCAGCTCTTGTATGCATAAATAAATAAATCTGTAAAAAAAAAAAGTAGAATGGGCCTCCCCGGTGGCACGGCTGTTGAGCCCTGGGTTGCAGGGCTGCCTGCAGCCTCTGCAGGGCCAGTTGGATCCCTGGCCACCAGGTGGGGGTGCCACATGGTGCGCAGACCTCTCCTGCTGCCCTCTGCTCCCCTCAGTAGTGTACTTCGTCCGTCTGCCTTTTCTGCTCCCTGCTCTGGCTCTGGTGAGTTCTCTTGCCCTCCCGTGCTTCTGACTGTACCCAGTGCTTATATAAATAAATAGATAAATCTTTAATAAAAAAAAATTCTTAAAAAAAAGTAGAAAAGATGAACTCTGAACACCCATTTCAATATGGGAGGTGCATTAGCAGGAATCCTAGGTCCCCTCCTCATCTCTATTCCTCTCTCCATTCTCTAAAACCAAAAGACCATCACAATACACTTCCTTTTAAAATTTTATTAAAGTTTAATGGAACAATATTTCTTTTGTTAACCCCAATACAAAAATACAGTTGACAGCTTGACAAAAATGGCTCCTTCTAGGACCTGAAGGTTTGAGTTTCTCAAACATTAACAGAGGGAAGCATGCTTCCAGCGAGGGCTGAGTCCAGGCACACAGCCGTTCCTGCAGATGCATGCGTGCAAACAGGGAAGCCCAAGCAGAAGAGAAAGGGATTTTCAGGGATTCAGGAAGAAGTCCAAGATTATTTCCAGGAGAAAAAGTGAAGAAAAAGGCTGGTTTCCTTGGTGGGGCTAGAATTACTGGTTTACATTTAGGGCTTGTGGTTTTAAATACTAAGCTATTTCTGCAAATTTAACAATGTAGAAAAGATGCTACTGATTTCCTTTCACCACCCAAATGAATATAGCAAGAAGAAATGGGAAATGATTCAAATACTTAAGTGTCAGGAGTAAATCTCCAAATGGCTCAAGTTTTGTGATAAAAGGTATCTTTCTTTACATTCAAAGACAAATATACTTAGGTCAGGGGGCCAGTAGAAGGAAATTTGCAAAACTCTCGTGGATCCAAAAACATGGAGGTCAGCTTCTGATTGCAGAACTCTTTCACAGTGAAAGAGCTCCTTCCCAAGCAGGCAGCAGCAATGTTTCCTGGTTGATTTTATTGTTCTGAACAATTTTTCAATATTCCCTCCCCTGTGGCTTTCCTTCCAGAATGCTAATTTTGATGAGAGAAGCAACACATTCAGGTTACAACTCATCTTGAAGATGTTTCTCTCTGAACGCATCTCCCGTCAGCTTTTCCTGAGCTTCCTTCATCCCCTGAACAACTGAAATAAAGATTAGGAAAGAAGTATGAAGCAGAACTTTAATATTTGACAATCAAAATAGATTTTTACATTTTGGTAGATAAATGAGATGAGCACTGAACTCTATTTCTAGTTTCTAGATTTTAGCCCTGGAAAGCATTTATCTCTTTGAATTTGTTTCCTCATCTATGAAATGAGATAGTGTTACTTCACACAGGATTATTATAAAAATTAAATGAGAATGGATCATAAAAGTACTTTATAAATTATGAAAAACTATAAAAATGTTAGCAGTTACTTGGGCTCACCCTTGAGGATTAGGGTTGAACCCCAGTGAGAATGTATGTTCCCCCAACATTAAAGAACTAGGAAATAACTTCCCATCATCCCATTATATTTTTCAGATGAAAGTTGTATTCATTTCATTCCCTATGGTGGTAATAGGTTACACTGCCATGTGAGTGTATGTGTGCTGGGATGGGGCAGTCTTTATTGCAAGAAGTAGTCATTTCTACCATCAATCATACACAGAAGAAGCCAAGTTTGTAAGTGAAGAGAGAGAGAGAGAGAGAGAGAGAGAAACCCGGAAGGAAGGCCTTAGGTGATGGAAGATAAAATTTCTTGTTCATCTTGGGACATCTCTTTTATGGATTTACACTTTAAGAAAGGCAGATATTTTGATATGGGCTCCTTATACAATGGACAGTCAGGAGCTAGGTTGAGTGAGAGTTTGGGAATCTGAGAAAGCAAATTTAGAGTCTTGTAAAAGCCAGATAGTATAGTTAGTTTTTTTTCCCTTTTGTTCTGCCTATACCTTTAGTAAAGCCAGGTTTGAATGTTCCTTCCAGTTTCATGTCAGCTGAACCATGGGGGAATGCAGGCAAGGGTCTCGTGTCCACATTGGGACTAATTTGTTAGGAATGATGCCAGTGTGGAGATGAGTGTAACTTGGATAAAATTCTAAAGGAAAGGTAAATCAAGGGTCAAGAGTTGGGAATCTAACCTCTAATCAGCATTTGGCTAAGGAAGATGACATTCTCCTTACCCATGGGAAGGAGACAATAATCTCCACATCTCTATTCCTATTCTGAGAAATAAGAACACCAAGGATGTGAAGCATAAAGTGGTCAACAAACTAGAAGCCTGGCAATAGGGGACATGGCAACTGAGCAAAAAATCCCCTTTGACAGGTGGCAGGGGGACCTTTAGAAGGAAAACAGGGACAATACATGGCATGAATTCTAACCCCTGCCTCTAAAATATTTGTGTCAAAGGATTAGAGATCAAAAGAGCATAAGTATGCAATTTGCAGCAACATGGATGGAGCTGGAAGGGATCATGTTCAGCAAAATAAGCCAGAAAGAAAAAGAAAAATAGCAGATGGTCTCACTCATAGCAGGAATTTAGAAAACCTAAATAAGGAACCAGGAAAAAGACTAATTATAATAAAGTAAAAATCAAAATCAACAAGCAACTATAAACCAGAGACACTACAGAGGGGGAGGAGGAAATAGGATCAAAACAAGGAGAGGTGGGAATTGTATGGGGACTATAACCAAGATGAAAATGCATGCATTGTGCAAAAATGAAAAATGATGTAAAAATATATAAAATTAAAAAATAATAAAAAAATGAATTTGAAAAAAAGAGCATGAGTAGACTCATGAATCACCCTTCCTTCACCTATTTATGCTGATGTTCTCTCTGCCTAGAATATGCTTTTCACATTCTTTTGCTTGCTAGGTCTCATCCTTCAGGAATCAGTTCAGTTAATCATCTCCTCTAGCAAGCCTTACATTCTCCATGTTCAGCTACAGCCTCCCTCCTTCCCTTGCTTCTGTAGCTTGAAATGTCCTCCTCACATCTGTCCACAGAGACAAATTCTTATCCTTCCAGGTTCAGTTAAATTATACAGTCTATTATCTATGAACCTCATAACTTGTTTGGCTAACAGTATTCTCTTTCCTCTAAATTTTTATAGGAAGAGTAGCATGAGCGCAGTGGAAAAAATAAGTACAGGACTGGCTTTGGACTTACTGTGAGACCATGGGTAAGTGATTGACTGTAAGGCTCAGTTCTTCAGTTTCCTGTGGGTCAATTAGTTCTCCAACATGATTTTAAATACCCAGGGAAGGAGATCAGTCTTATCTTTTTCCTAAATTCTATGCAAGATCTAGTCAAAGGCTAATCATGCAGGAAATGCTCCAATTATAATGTTGAAATGAGTTTCCTATCATAATCCTTGCATGTGGTTCATCCTAGTTAATCTAGCAGAGCAAACACTCTTTCAGTAAAATCATACCTTGCTCAGCACTGACGTAGAAATATTTATAGCTGGGGTTTCCATTCTCATTGATGATTTCAGGACGCACCTTGCCACTGGGATCTATGATGGACGAAATAACATAGGGGTTATGGTAATTACCACAGGGAGGAACTTCAAACATGATATGGTAGAAGGCTTTCTGGGAAACAAGACCTGCTCATTATCTCACCACCCTGGCCCTTGCGTTTTATATTACAATCACAATGGATTCTTCGTAGTTCTCGAACACAACTCCCCCATGCCTTGGCTATGCTGCTCCCTCTTCCTGGCATCTTCCCTTCCTACTTGATGAGAGTGGGATGCTATATTTTTGTTTTTCCACCATTGACTCTAGCAGAATACTGAGCAGAGATTAGGTAGTTGTTAAATATCTTTTATAAAATTGTTAGTGGAAAGATATTTGTCTGGTTATAGTATCCTACTGCCTCAGCTCCAATGTGGTCTTCAAGGTGGAATTTGTGGCTCCCTCCCTGAAGCACAAGCCATAGAGCTGATACACGAATGACTGCTGAGTGAGCAATGGATGATGAATACTCACATACTGCTCACAGAAGCAATCGGTTACTAAGAAAGTATTCCCAAAACTTGAGTTTCCGGTGTTCAGAATGCCCCCACTCTTTCTTAAAATTGATTTTGTTCATTTTGTTTTTTAGCTACCCCCATATAGTTTCACTAGATGGAATCACAGCTGGTTCACTCAACTCTCCTCATGCATCATGGATCCAGAGCTTCCTCTCACCCAGGAAGAGGATGCGGGGAATATAGCCCCCGTCGGGGCTGAAATCCTCATCCTTCGGCTCCTCTTCATCCTAAGTGTAAATCTTACGTTAGATCATCTCTCCTCTTTCCTCAAACCCTTCTAGAGGCTTTCCCACTCCCCTAGGGTGAAGTCCCAGGTCCCCACAGTGGCCCAAGAGGTCCCACAATGATAGATACTCCTCTAGCTTCATGACTGTCCCTTGCTCTGTCTTCTTCAACCATACTCATCTGTTGCTGCTGTACCTAACAGTTCTGTCCTTGCTCCTCCTCTCTGCTGGCCGCATCCCCCATTATCCACATGGCTCCCTTTGCTGTACATCTTTGCTCAAATGTCAGCGTTTCCAGCCACCTATTAAAAATTGCAAACAACCCCCTCCATCCTTCAATTTTAGCCACAGCATTTATCACCATCTGACTTATTTTACTTGTGTGTCTCCTCATATTTAATTCCCTATATGAAATTTCAATAAAAGCAGGGAATTTTGTCTGTTTTATTCACTGCTGAATCTAAATATCTGCATCACTCACTTGCACATAGTATTCTTGAAAGCATGAATTATTCACACTGACATTTTAGCTACAATTGTAGAGTTGGTCTTCAAAGAGATTCAACCACACAATCAGCTTTCTTTTTAAGAAACCTCTAAAGCTGGAGAATGTTCACAGAAGATATTTCTGTTGACACTGAATAGTGACTCTAATTTAGAAACTTATGAAAAGTTCACATGCAGAGGAATCAACAGTAATTTTGTCATTTACGGTGTGGTTCACATTTTAGGAATTTAATGGGGTCATGTCTTCAAATTGTAACATAATTTTGCCTTGAGTGCTTTGAATAGTCTAACCTAAATGGCAGCACAGCTAGGTCATAGTACCTATTCTTAGCACTTACTAGGCTCTATGATCTTGATTTAATCACCTAACTCTGCCAGATCTGAGATGCTTTCTATAAAATTGGGACTGCACCAGTGGGCTAAAAATCCCTTCCAACTCTCAGGTCTGACATTATGACTTAGAATTCCAAGGCCTGTCATCTACATGGAGTATGTAAATGATATCTAAGGCATAAATAAGAAGGTAGTACACACAAGCCCAGCAGAGTAGGTACTCATTTGCAACACATTTTGCAGGGAGTTGTGGCCTGCACATGAGATTATACCTTTAGTTCAGTTACACAAAGATGTAAAATATGTCATAATCATAGACAAAATATAAAGGATCTTAACAGTCATATTATCCAATCTCTCTTCTCCTACCTCCTCCCACAAGTGAATGCTGGATGGCTATCATATCTGACACAAACCTTGAAGGTGAAGAGAAAAACACACATACAGGTAGCCATCCCTGCTCAAAATGATTTTACATCATTCAAGATGCTAATTCTAAGACAGCAAAGACTTAAAATCATAACAGAAAGGAGAAAATCTTAAAGTCTTACCTCAAGATTTACCATTACAAAATTATGGGAGAGTTCTGAAATTTCTGTAGATTCTGCAAATTTGGGCTTTAAAGCTGGGAGGAAAAAAGATTTGGAATATAAGAAAACATCATTATCATATCTGCGCCTTAACTTATTGTGTTGATTCATATAACTGAACCTTTTTAACACCGAAGATCAGAAACCCTGAATTCTGACCCTACTTCTGATACTTAACTCACATAACTATATGATCTTGAGTAATTTACTTCATTTTTCTGAAGCTTTTATGTCATCTATAAAACATAGGTAATGGCTAACAAATAAAAAAATTATTACCATTTGCTTTTTATAGCCACATTTCAGTAACTTCTTTTGAAGAATAAGCAATGGAGTAACAATACTATACTATTACACTTATTATTTACACTAATTTTATGCTCCTTGCCAATTAGGATTTCATTAAGTGTGACATAGTAAGACAAAACCTGGAAGTGGCAGGTGGTACAGCAGGAAGAATACATGCTAGTTAGATAACCGTGGGCTCTAATTTCCTTCCCACCTCCTCCAGGAAGACTTCTCCAACCACTTCTCATGTTGCTATGCATAATTTCAGCTTCCTCTAAGTTTTACTATCTATATGATAATTTTAGCACTTAGTCTACACTACCACATCTTAATTGCCTCACCTTCCCTATAAAAATTCCTTGCAAATATAATTACAAATTTGTTAAGGGCAGGGAATTTACATCATATATTTCTTTGGTATTACCTAAAGCAATCAGCAGTTCTGAGACAGAGTTAATGTTGTTAATTTTTTTTTTTTAAGATTTATTTATACAAGCACTGGGTACAGTCAGAAGTGCGGGAGGGTGAGAGAATTCACTAGAGCCAGAGGGGAGAGCAGAGCAGACAAACTGACGAAGTACACTTCTGAGGGGAGCAGTGGGTGGCAGGAGAGGTCTGCACGCCATGTGGGACCCTCACCCGGTGGCCGGGGATCCAACTGGCACCGCAGAGGCTGCGGGCAGCTTCGCAACCCAGCGCTCAACTGCTGCACCACAGGGGAGGCCCAGTGTTGTTAATTTTTAAATCGTAATATTTGAGAAATCAGCTTACCTTTGCAAGCTCCACACCAGGATTTATGGATAATCACCATCAAGGGCAATCCACTTAAAAACAAAACAAAAAAATTAAAATCTAGCAATTCAACTTCTTGAAATTTAGTAAAATGACTAGTTTATGAAGACAAAGAATAATGTACAAAAATGTCAGTGAAAAATTTTCATTGGTATCATGTTAAAATTAAAAAACTGAATACAAAATTATCTATGGTTTGCATTATACAAATCTATAGAGAAAAGAAAATGAAACATAATAGCAAACACACTGAAACATAATAGCAGTTATTGGGACTATGGGTTTTACTATAATTTGTTTTCCAATTTATCTATAATACTTTATAATCAGAGAGGAAAAAGTTTTTTTAAATAATGAATAGGGCCTCCCTGGTGGCACAAGGGGTTAAGTCTCAGCACTATGAAACTATCAGCAGCCACTGTGGCACCAGTTCTATCCTCAGCCAGGGAGGTGACCCACATGGTGCAACAGACCTCTCCTGACTCGCCCACTGCTCCCCTCAGCAGTGTATTTCGGTCAATCTGCCTTTGCTGTTCCCCACTGTTTCTGGTGAATCCTCTCACCTCCCCCCCCCACACACACCCCTCTGGCCTATACCCTAGTTCTTGGATGCATAAATAAATCTTTAAAAAATAAATAAATAAAAATAAAAATAATGAATGTAATCTACCTGAGCCAGTCTTCCCCAGATAACATTTTTAAGTTCTCAAAGTTCAAATGCCAACTTGTAGGAGTGTCCTATGTAAACAGCCATTGGCTTTCTCTACCATTTAACCACCATGCACTATATGGTAGTTATCACTGCACTTCCCACATTAAACAAATCTAAATCTATTATTTACCCATCTCCCCTCAAAAGATATGCAGATTCTCAAGGGAAGGAACTCCTGTCTCTATATCCCCTAGATCTGGCACATAGAATATTATTGATAGCAAACATTTATATGGCATTAAGGAATGCCAGGTACACAGCAAAGATACATGTGAGTCAATCAATTTAGTGTCAAATGAATTATTAAGCCACCTCATCATAGGCCTGCTATAAATCCAGCATGGATGTGTGCCTGTAATAATATCTGTGAAAGCTTGTAAACCAAATGAGCAGGGCAAACTTCGTTGAGAAGTAGGTTCTAGGTAACAATCATAATAGTCAAATATACTAAAGATAATTTTGTGTGCTATGTGTTTTTCATGTATTATCTCATATACGTCCTCACAACAATCTTAAGGCAGATAATATTAATGATCTCATAACAGAAATGAGGACTCTAATTTACTCCCAAGAGTTTAAAAACTCAGCCACCTAGAATCCAGATTCTGCCACTTACTAGCTAACTGATTAGTGTAACTCCAAAACAATTCTCTGAACACCACAGTCAACTCCAAATTATAATGGCAATCCAAAATTCCTAGGTTTAAATTCGACTCAACCAATAATCAACTTAGTGTCAGAGAATTAGGGTGGAAAAGGTTTTAGTGGTTACCTAGTCCACACCTGTTTCAAGCACCAATCCTCTTTCATATATCAGAAGGAAAAGATGCTCCGGGTAGTCTGATGAGCAAGAAATACATCACCAAGACAGCCCATCCTCTTAATACCTCTGTGCACTTACAAAGCAGTTTAGATTATCTTGCTCCCTCCTTTCTATCTAGCAAACTCCTATTCAACCTTCTAGAGCAGGAGTCAGTAAACTATGGTCTGCACACCTAACCCAGTCCAATTCCTACTTCTAGAGAGCTGTGAGATAAATATATTTTTGTACATTCTTAAATTGAAAAACAAATGCTAAAATTTGTATCTAATGAAATTTGTTGTATCTAATGAAATTTTGTTGTAATGAAATTTGTTGTATCTAATGAAATGTTAAAATGAAATATAATTAATGTTTCAGTGTAGTTTTATTATAACATTCACAACCACTTGTATAGTTACCATCTATGGTTGTTTTAATGCTACAATGGCAGTTCATAAGCTGCAGCAGAGGCCCTATGGCCCATAAAACCTAAAAAAAGGTATCTTTTGGCCCTTTGCTGGCTCCGGCTCTAGTGACAGTTCAAAAATTAAACCATGTGTGAAAGCTTCCCCAAATCACCTTTTCTCATAAGCTGGTTAGTCCTTTCCTCCTCTAGGCTGCCATTCAGCCATCATCCTTTAACCCCCCAGCCTGTTATCCTGTAATCATGTTTACTTAATTGTATTTCACATCAAACTATTAATTGCTTCAGAGCAAAGACTATATCTAATTCATCTTTGAAAAATCACAAGTATTCAAGCATCTATTTAATGAAATCAATGAACAAATGGAAGCCATTTAAAGTGATATTTGCTTTGAAATACAGAATGCAAATTAGAGTTGTGTATATCACTCCAGGTTATAGACCATGCATCTAGTCTCTCACTTAAAACTACCAAAGGTCTATTTCAGTGGAAAGCACAAAAATAACAGCGGATCTAAAATATATTAGTAAATTACAGAAATTACATGAAGAACATGAGGTACAGCAAGTAAAAGACATTCCAGCAGACTCTTCTTCTAAAAGATTTTATTAGATAAAATAATCTAGTGGTTATGTTTTTCACTTCCACTAGAACCAAAATTTGCTTCGCAAGGACAGAAACAAGATTTATTTGTGGCCCCGGGTCCCAGCATAGAAACTAGCAAAAAAGGATTCAGTACCAAAAAACTGTGAAATGACAGAAGGGTCAGAGCAGATGTCATCTTTGGTTTCTGCTCACAACTGTTTTAAAAACAAATCATCAATCCAGTCTGCTCTCCCACAACTCAGATGGGGGTAATCAGTGGTGTGTGATATCCCAAACAGAACCCAATCTAAACAAACTGAGCTCTGTCCTTTCAAGAAATTTGCCAAGATCCTCCAAGCTAGATCTCTGATGTGGTTGACAGAACCAGTCACAATAGGTCAAGTACCATACATCAATACCCTCTGCAAACCTTCAGACTATTCGTCCCAGAAAAATTAGAGCAGTGTAGATAGGAGCCATGGCTTTCTCCCTACATCCTCCGGTTAGTGCAGGCTCTGGCTTAGATACTGCAGAAACATGTTGGCCAGTTGAGGCAGGTTCTCATTGTTAGGATGCATTTTGGTGTAGGAAATAAACTGGCGACGAAGACGACTCAGTTCTGCCATGGTCAAGGGCCTGGTAAACGGAAGGTGCTCAGTAGTGCCAGGCAGCTTAAGTAAGTCTCCAGGGAGGGCGCTTTTTTGCGCTTCCATCAGTGCTGCCAACACCTGGCTGGTAACCTGATCCAACTGGTGTAGAAAGCTGCTGGAGGCAAGGGGCTGAGACTGGGTAGACTGATGGGCTGGGGGAGCCTGGTTTTCAAACAAGGCTGCGCGAATCTCTGCCAGGGGTAACGGTTCCTCTAAGCCCACCAAGGTGAACAGGGGCCGGTCCCAGCGGTTCCGAGAGTCTGGAGCCTCAAAGCGCAGCATGAGAGCCTCCAGAAGTTCCGGAGGGTAAAGGGCACTGGACACATGCTTTGAAGATTTCTCCAATTCCGGAGGCACGAGAGCTGGAGGATCTGGTGCCCCGGCTTCCTCCGGTTCCAGCTCCGTAGGTACGCTGGCCTGGGCGCTCCCATTTACTGCAGAGTCCACAGCCTGCGGCTCCCCGAGAACGCAGACGCCGGCAGCCTGAATCCTCCCGCCCTTCTCTGAGCGCGGGGTCCAACTTACACTTGGGGTACGGGTCCGACCCTCCTCCGTGTCGACCCCCCGAGGTCCCCCGCCCGGACGGCCCGGCTGTACGCAATAGACCAGGCACAGCGGGGTGCGCGCTGCCCGCGCCAGACAGTAGAGCTCGTAGCGGAAGCCCTTGATGTAATTAAGCGAGTCGAGGATGACCACGTCGTGGCGACTCAGGCGCCGCTCCACCGCGGCTCGCAGGGCGCCGCGCAGCGCCTTCTCACGGGCCGAATCGCCGTACACCGTAGGGTCCTCCGCGCCCAGCACCGACGCGTCGTCCACCACGTGCACCGTGTGGCCCTCAGCCTCCAGCGCTCCACGGAGCAACGCGGCCCGCCGGCTCTTGCCGCAGCGCGGCAACCCACAGAACACAACCAGCGGCATCGCCCCCGCGCGCGGCCATGCGCAAACGCGCCGCGTCAACTTCCGGGCTGTCGGACTAGTCGACGCAAGCCGGAAGCGCACACGACACTTCCGGCCTCCTCAGCCTCTCAGAGGTCCTCTGTAGCTATAGAAACAGCTCTACGCCAACCAAACCCAGCTTCTGCTCTCCAAGAAAGGAGACTAGAAAGACTTGTTATTTAAATCAGATGTTAAAGGCGCAGAAGAAAGTGATGGCCCTGGGACCAAAGACTATGCCCATCCTTTTGTAATGGGGCTTAATGAGCATTATATACTGCAACACAATAATGCCATATATTTAGAACCCAGAAGGCAATTCACAAATGCTAGTTCTTCTTCATTCCTTACACACAGTAGCTGTTTATTCAATAACCATTTCAATCGTTCACCATCGCCATGGCTGGGGGATTCAGAAAGGAAAGTAGAACGGTTCCCCCATAGTAAATTAAAGATCTGAATGGGAAGAGTCAGGCATCTACAAGGAGAATAACAAGTACTATGATGGATAATTCTAAGTCGGGTTATAAAAATACAGACCAGAAAAAGAAACTACCTAGAAAAAAATGGCTGATGACTTTCTCCAGGAATAGTCATTTGATTTAGAACTTTAAAAAACTAATAGGAATTTTCCTCCTGGGTAAGGTTGGCTGATAAAAGACAGGATGCCCAGTTAAATCTGAATTTCAGATAAACATCAACGAAAAAGTTTTTGATATAAGTATGTCCCAAATATTGTATGGGACGCATTTGAAATTACTTATTGTTTACCTGAAATTCAAAATTAACTGGACATATTTTATTTGCTGAATTTGACCTTATTCCTGGCAGGTGTGAGACTCAGAGCCATAAAAACATAGGTTCTGTTATAGTAAAAGCAAGCACTATAGTTTAGTAGGGGCAGAAATCTATTTCTGTGCAAGTGTGTGCATGTAGAGTAGGTGCACATATATTGGGTCTTTGTATCCCTCCAGTACAATATAGTAGAGAACATTCAAGTCTTGGTTCTGCCACTTAACTAGCTATATAAACTATTGGCAAAATTTTTACCCATTCAGTATCTGTTTCCTCTTCTGTAAAATAGTAACAGTTCTTATTTCACAGTCTGCACCAAACTCTTAGATTGTGAGGAGTAAATAAATTAATGCATGGAAAACACCCAGAGCCCTGTTTACTTCCCTCCCTCAGGCTCGGTCTTTTCCTTCTTTGTATGAGTTGACTGTGCATAGACTAAACCTACTTAGAACTTGAGGTTATTAAACTTGAGATCATTAGGCAGTTTGGTTTACTAGTTGAGTACAGTCTCTTAAGACAGAGTACCAAATCTTGGCTTAGTCACTTGCTAGCTCTGCAGTCGTTGGCAAGTTACTTAACTTCTCTGTACCTTAGTTTCCTCACCGCTAAAATGAAATTAGTAGAACAGTACCCACTGCAAAAGAGTTGTGAGAATTAAATGAGTTAACTCACTTAATTCAATGTCTGGTAGATAGTAAGTGCTTAATGCTAGCTAATATTACTGCTATAACATTAGGCAAGTTTTACTCAGTTCTTGCTCAGTCTTGAAATAACCCTTCATCTGAAATCAATGCTACACTGATGGCTAAAAAATGTTTTATCGGGCCTCCCCGGTGGCGCAGCGGTTGGGCGCTGGGTTGCGGGGCTGCCCGCGGCCTCTGCAGCACCGGTTCGATCCCCGGCTGCTCCCCGGCCTCCGGAGGAGGGTCCCACATGGCGCGCAGACCTCTCCTGCCGCCCGCTGCTCCCCTCAGCAATGTACTTCGGTCCTTCTGCCTGCTCTGCTCCCTGCTCTGGCTCTTGTGAATTCTCTCACCCTCCCGTGCTTCTGACTGTACCCAGTGCATGTATAAACAAACAAACAAACAAAAAACAACAACAAAAAAAAATGTTTTATCACCACAAATAACCCTAAACTATGTCTTTACCTGGCAGCTGCTTCTCTCTTCCCATCTTCTAGTGTTCTCCAATGAATGTGGTCTCCAAAACCTGGAAGGAAAGAGTCTTATAAACATTCACACATGAACGGAGGGCAAAGATCTAAAAATAAAAAATGTGGCATGTTCACAAGAAACCCATGAAAAAACTTTCCTCTGTCAAGTGCATGGTGTTCAAGTCTTCTAGGTATATGGAAACAAGGATATCCCAATGCCACAAGTCTTGGTTTTCATGCCTGGTAAAATGGAGATGACATTGCCTAAGTCATAGCTTTTAAGGAGAGCAAATTAAATCTTGTGTTTGTAATCTAACGGAGTATGCAAATAATACTGTCAGAATGAATCAGATATTTCCAGAGTAAACAAAAAGCAGGTCTTAACAAATCATTAGTTATTGGAGGTAATCAAAAATACAGCTTTAGAGTCAGAGAGACATGGGTGTGGGATGCCAACTCCCACTTTCTATTAAATGCAGGAAATTTTGTAAATGAAGTGAGCTCCCCATTTCCCAATTTCTTAACCTATAAAATTAAGAAAAAATACCTACGTTCAAGCCTTGGTGTAAGGAGTAGATGTGATAATGTATTTAAATCTATTCTTGTTTTATTCCCCACACTTCAGCCAGAGTGATCTTTTAAAATCACATCTCTGCTGGGCAAAAACCTTTCAGAGGCTTTCCAATACCTTAAAAAAGAAAGGTCAAACTCAGAGAAGGACTTACAAAGCCTTCCAAAATATGTCACCTGTATACTTTTCATAAAATACTGCACACAAAATACTTTCACTAGCTTAAATACACCATGCATTCTCTCCCCTCCAGCCTTCATAGTCACTGCTTCCCCTGCCCTGTCCTTCCCACCTGCACATCCAATTCATTCTTCAGGGCATTTCTCCTGGTAAATCTCTGAATCTCAAAGAACCCAATTCTTGCCCCATCACTGAACTTCCCAAGTTGAATTGTAAATGTGTATGTGTCTGTCTCCCTCACACTAAGGTAAGTCGCTACAAGCTGGGATCCTATCTGTCTATACCCTCTTGTTTCCCTAGTACTTAGTATTTTCCATGCCACACTAAGTGCTCCTTAAAATATTTATTGACTAAACATATCTTACTTAAGATATATCACACAATGAATTAATTTTATATCTGGGAAATGTTACTGATGATAATAATTCTGGCTGTTATTTACTGACCACCTTATATGTGCCCCCATGCCACATATATTACCTCATTTCAATTTAGCTGTAACAACCCCCCTTTCATTTAACCTCTCTATATTTCCATTTTCTCATTATCAAAATAGGTATAAGAATAGCTATATCTTGTAAGACTGTTACTGAATATTAAATAAGAAATGCGTGTTTGTGTAAATATATGTAATAGCACAGTGCTTAGTATATTATAAATGATCAGCAGATTTTGTTATTCTTTACAGTTGAGACTTCTGGGGTTCAGAGAAGTTACCAGGTCACACAGCAGGTAAATGGCCAACCTGGGATTTAAACTTCGATTTTATGACTGGTTACTATATTACTTCCAGGCCTTTATTTCCCAAAAATAAATCAAAACCTAATTTCCATCAGTGTTACCACAGGGAAATAAACAGCTCATCCAGATTAGCATAAGGAAGCAGTATCCAAATTAAGCATCATCACTTTTCATTCCCAACAGCATGGGCTGCTTGCCAAGAGAAAATGTGACTGGGGCCCAAAGTCTAATCCTGAGGAGTAGATGATTAAGTGAGAGTGAAATTGGAAGGATGCCCAGAAAGATGCCTAATGTGATCAACATCATTCTACCTGACAGCATCTTTTAACTCAGACAACTGAATCCTTCTTTGGGAGGGGTGGGGGAGGTGGGGGAGGGATGTCTTCTAAACAGTGGCATCCACCTACAAAACAGTGAAGTCCTAGATAAAATTGTCTAATGCTTTCAAAATTGTCTAGATCCTTTTCTGGTTCATAAGCATGATGATTGGGTGTTCACGCGGCTGTGTGAGGTGTGTCTCCCTTAAACCTTGTTACCACATTGGCACATTACCCTTCCGACATAAAAAAAACACTAATGCTGGACTCATAGTAATACACACACGCACACACACACACACACACACACACACACACACACACACACCAAGGAGGAAAAATGAGCAACAAGCATAAAGGTAAGGCTGATCTGAAAGAAAATCTCTATTATGGAGACTAGAATTCCAGTTGGTAGTCCCCTCTCCTTTGCAGATGACCAAAAGCTAAATCTTCCCGGGGGAAAAGCATTCCCTACTTTAGGCCTCCAAATAGCCAATAATAAAGAACCATTATCAGCTCACAATAGTTCACCACTAAACATATAAGTAAACAAATTACAAAAAAGAATCAGCAAAAGCTGATTTAGATCCTTAAGAATTTCAGCATTAGAATTATCAGTCACAAGAAAAAAAAAAAGGATTATCAGTCACAGGATATAAAAATAACTATGTATGAATGTTTAAAAAAAATCACTCATGGGATGACAAAAACAGAAATACAACAGGTCTAAAATAGATAAATGTGTAAAGGCACCAAATAGAACTTTCAGAAATTAAAAAATACTGCTATTAAAATACAAAATCAGGGCCTCCCCGGTGGCGCAGCGGTTGAGTGCTGGGTTGCAAAGCTGCCCGCAGCCTCTGCAGCGCCGGTTCCATCCCGGCTGCCAGCGAGGGTCCCACATGGCGCGCAGACCTCTCCTGCCGCCCGCTGCTCCCCTCACTTGTGTACTTTGTCAGTCTGCCTGCTCTGCTCTCCCCTCTGGCTCTGGTGAATTCTCTCACCCTCCCACGCTGACTGTACCCAGTGCTTGTATAAATAAATAAATAAATCTTTAAAAAAAAATACAAAATCAATGGCTATCCAAGAGTGAAAAAAAATGAGCTATTAAAACACAAAAGATGTAGAGGAACCTTAAATGCATATAAGCTAAGCAAAAGAAGCCAATCTGAAAAGCTACAGATGAGTCCACTATAAGGCGTGCTGGAACAGATAGTAAAAAGATCAGTGGTTGCTAGGGATTCATGGGGAAGGGAGAAATGAGTAGGTGGAACACAGTTTTTATGCCAGTGAAACTATTCTGTATAATTTTCTAAGAGTGAATATATGTTTTATGGGCTAAGAAATTGTAGCTCTCTGGGCCTCTGGTGGCACAGGGGTTAAGCACCACACTATGAAGCAAACTGCAGCCTCTGCAGCATGAGCTCAATCCCTGGCCAGCCAGGGAGCAATCCACATGGCAAGGCAGACCTCTCCTGACTCGCCTGCTGCTCCCTTCAGCAGTGTATTTCAGTAGATCTGCCTGTTCTGTTCCCCACTCTGCCTCTGGTGAATCCCCTCACTCCCTGCATCTCTGGCCTGTACCCCAGCTCTTGCATGCATAAATAAATAAATCTTTAAAAAGAAAAAAGAAATTGTAGCTCTCTCCCCATCCCCCAAATTCATACGTTAAAGATCTAACTCCCCGTAACTCTGAAAATGACTGTTTTGGGACAAAGGCTCTTAAAAGAGGTAATTGAGTTAAACTGAGGTCACTAGGGTGGGCCTGTCTTATATACACACACATATACACACAAACACACGCACACTATGTTGTTTACAAAAGCACCTAAAACAGAAGAACTCACAAAAGTCCAAGTAAAATGATTACAAAATACATACCTAAATAAATGTCAGAAGCTAGGTGACAAAGCTTACTGTCATTGTATGTTGTTATAAGAAACCCCAGTGCAGTAGTGTTCAATAGAACTTTCTGCAATTATGTAAATGTTCCATACCTGCACTGTTTAATATGTTAGTCATTAGCCACATGTCACTCCTGAGTATTTAAAATGTGGCTAATGCAACTGAGGAGCTGGATTTTCAATTTTATTTAATTTTAATTAACTTAAAATTTAAGAGTAATATGAAACTACTGTGTTGGATAGCAGAAACTAAGAGACCAATTAATGCAACCCTCTCACGTTATCAAGGCCTAGAAAAGGCAAGAGGTTATCCAAGAGCACAAAGGAAGCCACAACCAGAATTTAGGTCTCCTGATTTCTAGCGTACTTTTCCAGTACCCCAACATTTCCCTAGTTGTTCTACTGTATTATGTCTAACAGTACATCCAAAAGTGTAATTTGAGGGGCCTCCCTGGTGGCGCAAAGGGTTAAGACACAGCACTATGAGGCTATCCACAGCCACTGCAGTATGAGTTCGATCCCAGGTCAGGGAGGTGACCCACATGGCGCAGCAGGCCTCTCCTGTCTTGCCCACTGCTCCCCTCAGCAATGTATTTCAGTAGATTTGCCTATTCTGTTCCCTACTCTGTCTCTAGTGAATCCTCTCACCCCTCCACACCTCTGGCCTGTACCCCAGTTCCTGTATGCATAAATAAATAAATCTTTTAAAAAAGTGTAATTTGAAACAATTCACTTTTCTTTGAAAACTTATATTTAAAAGTACATAATAATAAGGGCCTCCCTAGTGGCCCAAGGTATTAAGTCTCACTGTGAAGCACTATGAAGCTATGTCAGTCACTGCAGCACCAGTTCAATCCCCATCCAGGGAGCTAATCCACAAGGCCCAGCAGACCTCTCATGTCTCCCCCATTGCTCCCCTCAGCAGTGTATTTCAATGGATCTGCCTGTTCTGCCATATCTCTGGCCTATACCCCAGCTCTTGTATGCATAAATAAATAAATCTTTTTAAAAAGTACATAATAATAACCACTACCATCATTTTTCAGTGTTTATATAATCACCATTATCTTAAAAAGTGTTAACCAAACTGTTAATGACTGTCATGTTATTTATTTTATGTCAGGTACTGTTTTTCATGCTTTTACATATATAAACTTATTTAATCCTCACAATAAGCTTATGAGGTAGAAATGCTAATTAATCCCATTACATGATATGGAAGCTGAAGTTAAATAGTTTGTCTAAAGTTAAACTGCCAGGGCCTCCCCGGTGGCGCAGCGGTTGAGCTCTGGGTTGCAAAGCTGCCCGCAGCACTCTGCAGTGCCAGTTCGATCCCCGGCCACTGGGCGAGGGTCCCACATGGTGCGCAGACCTCTCCTGCCGCCCACTGCTCCCCTCAGCAGTGGACTTCGGTCCTTCTGCCTGCTCTGCTCCCCGCTTTGGCTCTGATGAATCCTCTCACCCTCCCGTGCTTCTGACTGCACCCAGTGCTTGCATAAATAAAAATAAATAAATCTTTAAAAAAAAAAAAAGTTTTTAAAAAAAAAAATAAAGTTAAACTGCCAAGCGGCAGACTTGGGATTAGAACCTAAGTGGTGGTGATCTAGAGTCTATAGTTTAACCACTCTCTCTACTTTTTTTTTTTAAGATTTATTTATTTATACAAGAACTGGGGTATAGGCCCGATTTGTGGGAGGGTGAGAGGATTCACCAGAGATAGAGAGGGGAACAGAACAGACAGACTGACGAAACACACTGCTGAGGGGAGCAGCGGGCGAGACAGGAGAGGTCTGCCACGCCATGTGGGACCCTCGCAGGCCCACCGGGATCTAACTGGCGCTACAGAGGCTGCAGACAGTTTCACAGCTCTGTGCTCAACCGCCTGAGCCACCAGGGGAGGCCCCACTCTCTACTTCTTACTGCTTCTTTTTTTTTTTTTTCTTCCTTTCAAAAGGAACATTAAGGGCCTCCCCGGTGGGTGGCGCAGTGGTTGAGCGCTGGGCTGCGAAGCTGCCCGCAGCCTCTGCAGCACCGGTTCGATCCCCAGCCACAGGCAAGGGTCCCACATGGCGTGCAGAACTCTCCTGCCACGCCCGCTGCTCCCCTCAGCAGTGTATTTCAGTCAGTCTGCCTGTTCTGCTCCCCGCTCTGGCTCTGGTGAATTCTCTCACCCTCCTGTGCCTCTGACTGTACCCAGTGCTTATATAAATAAATAAATAAATAAATAAATAAATCTTAAAAAAAAGGAACATTAAAAAGGTACAGTGTTTAACTTGTTACCAGAATCACCTACTCCTGGCACTACCCACATCCACACCCTTGCCAACGTGGAACATTCCACAACGTGGAATCGAAAATAGTCCAATTTCCTAAAAAGTCACTTGCACAGTCACTTAATTTATGCCAGGTATTTGCAAAGTGAGCTGTAGGCTTCCACGTCAACAGTGCCTTCCTTAAAAATATTATTTTTTTTAAAAGATTTATTTATTTGTTTGTTTATTTATTTATTTATTTATACAAGCACTGGGTATAGTCAGAAGCGCGGGAGGGTGAGAGAATTCACCAGAGCCAGAGTGGGGAGCAGAACAGGCAGAAGGACCAAAGTACACTGCTGAGGGGAGCAGCGGGCGGCAGGAGAGGTCTGCGCGCCATGTGGGACCCTCCTCCAGTGGCCAGGGAGCAGCCGGGGATCGAACCGGCGCTGCAGAGGCTGCGGGCAGCCTAGCAACCCAGCGCTCAACCGCAGCGCCACCGGGGAGGCCCCTTAAAAAATATTATTAAAAGAAAGCAAAGTGACCATGTCTAAACACGGCATTTACATGAGAATTCCCAAGCCCTTCATCCTGAAATTGTTTTTATAAGTGTAAGCTATGGACATCAGAAAAGTATTATGTCCATTCAACTGACAAAATAAAAGGTCAAGTGTCAGAGCTGGCAGCCAAGCCTCTAAAACAAAGAACACTGTACCTGAGAGGTAGAATAACATAGTGGCTAAATAAAGTCTGTCTTTAGTCAAACAGATCTGGGTTGGAAATCTAGTTCCGCCACATACTATTTTCACAAATGCAAAATATGGCTAACGAAAATACTCTACAGGGTTGTCATGAATATGAACAGAACACAGTGTGGAATGTAAAAACTTTGTGTGTGCAGTGCCAAATTCTTATTCCAGAGTCTTGATAACATATCTGTTTCAGGACAGTTCATGAACTGGCCCCAAAATAATTATCATTATCCTCATTATTGTGAGGATTAAACCACTCAATTTATGCAAAATATGAAGAGCATCTGGAATAAAGTAAATGTACAGTAAATGCAAGTCATTACATTTCTCCCTACAGGTGACATAATCCAAAGTTTTAGCCTCCAGAGAACAAAATTACTTTAGAACTCTGGAATGTTACAGCTTGAAGGGCTCTTAGTTTTCATTTTTAGTCCAACCATCTCACTTAATAAATCATCCCCAGGGAATATACAGAATATGTACTACATGGCTTGACCAGGATTAAAACTCAGGCCTCCTAGTTCCTATGTAATAGGGTGATATAGTCTCTCCTCTCTGCAAACCACCAGGACATTATCTGATAAGAGCCAGACCTACTTAAAACATCTGGAAAGAAATTATACTCATCAAGATTTTCAGGAATCACTGCTTCAGGTAGCACTTTTGGGTGGGTTGGGCTAGAGGCTATATTGCAAGAATCCATACCCAAGATATCCATAAAAGTTTAAAATAGTATTCATTCCTTTCCAAAATAATTAAATATTCTTCCTTGGGAGGATATCACAATAAACATTAAATACTTTCTACATTTGTCATACAACATTAAATGCTTTTTTCATTCAATCCTTACAACAATCCCTGTCTCCCTGTCCCTCCCTGCCCCAAGTTGCCCTCCTACATGCTCCTATAGGTATGTGGTATTTACCTGCTCACAGTGTATATATATCACACTGTCATAAAATTGCCTGCTTATTTGTCTTGTCATCTATAGACTATAAGGAGAAAAAAAACAAATATTCCTGAGCATGAATAAGACCAAATATTTGGTCCTGACTTACTGGGGTAAACTATACTTTCCAAAGATGGCTGCAACAGTATCTCCCATTCTAGACTCTCTTCTTACAATGTGACAACATTCCTCCTCCCACCGGGAGGTGGAGAGCAGGTTAATGTCCCTTTCTCTTGAACACACCCATGTAGAATACAATGGAAGTGATAAGGTGTGACTTGTAACGGTAGATGATAAAAATGCTACACATTTCCACTTTGTTCTCTTGAGGCCCTAGTTCTTGGAATTCACAAGCCAAACTACGAGAAAGTCCACATGAGAACATGAAAAAAGACTACACAAAGAAGTAACCAGTTCAGCTGGGGCCCAGGCATCATGGAACCAAGAGTCATACCTTCCCCCCCGTGTCTTGTTTGAATCCCTGTCCCACAGTATCCTGGGCATAATGAAATGATTTTTTGGGCCACTAAATTTTGAGGTGGTTCATTATTCCACAACAGTAACTGAAACAACCACATAGAGTTTAATGTCTAACAAGGAATAAATATACTGAATATGTGACTCCAAGGTATTACCTATACCTAACACAATCATTGGAACACAATTTTATTTGTTGAGTGCCTGAAAGTTGTAAATATGCCCATTTTGCAGATGAGGAACTGAGCTTTGAGAAATTTAGCCACTTATCTGAGTCCACATAGCTGATCAATGGCAAAGTAAAATAAAACTCAGAACTACACCCACATTCCTAATCCTATACTCTTCGGTCTCCCTCAGTACTTACATTTTTACACTAATCTGTTTTAAAATGGGATTCATCTTGCAGTTTGATCACTGTGAAGGAAACCCACACACATCACCTCTCAGAGAAGCTGTCAGTGATATTTCTAAGTCAACTGCTGCTAACTCATTCATCCTCCCCAGTCTTTCTACTCCATGGGTTTCATTTTTTCCCCAGCACTTATCCCTTTTATTCAGCTGTTCAATGTGTCTGCTCTCTCTGATTTGAATATAAGCACCATGTGAGCAGGAACTTTGTCAGCAGAGTTCACTGCAAGTGCCTAGCAAAGTGCCTGAATGTCCACCCAAACTCACCCATCAATAAATGTGCCAATAGAGAGGGTAAGAGAAAATAATTTTAAAAAAACAGAATCATCCACCTAACAATAGAAGGGAAGGGAAATCCATGCTACCACTCATTCACTTCGAAAAGCATAAGCCCTGAATTCAAATGAAGATGCAGGTAATGAAATGGAATTGGGGACCACACCTTCTATCCTCCATTCTGTTCCCACAACTCAAAGAGTTCAGTTTCTTCAGGCACACTGACTAAACTGCACCAGGGACAACTGTTGGTGATCCTCTAACATCAGACCTTCTATGCTTCACCTTGCTCATCTTTATGCACTAGTCACAACTCCATAGATGCAGGTGCTGCTCCCCCACCCCCCACCCCCCAGGAGAGAGGCGGCAGTAACCTAGCCCTTCAAGGAAGAGAAGGGGAATCTTTAGACTCAGGATAAATATTTCTACATCTCTAAACTCCCAAAAGTGCTATTTATCCCAGGAGGAAAGGTGAAGGTTCCTGGAGACCGGCCAAATGTTGTGCACTATCTTGGACTCTCAAACATGCTTTTCCTGATTTAAGGACCACTCCTACCCCCAACCCAAGAACTTGTGAAGGCCTCAAGCACAACTTCCCCACCTCAACATTCCCCAGACCCTGCTACTCCCTAACCCCAAGAAATCTTCCTCAAACGCCAAGAGCAGGTAGGGGGATAAAAAAGAAATCTGGCGTAACCTAAGACAGAAAAGGAGGGAACAGTGTTAGGGCAAGAAGAGGGTTATACTGGGCTGGAACCCAGAGCGAGTAAAGATTAAGATAAGAACGCGGTCTGACCCTTTCCAAGCCCTTTATGTCCATCAGAGGAAGTGATGAGCAGCAGGAAACTGAAGCCAAGCAAACAGGTGGCCCCAAGACGAGGCCGCAGCTCCATGGTGGTAGGTGCGCGGGGCCACCAGGCTGAGCAGACGCAGGGCCGTAGTCCCGGCAGAAGGTCCGCGCGTTCCCCAAGTGTGGTTCAGTCCTACCCCTAGCGTCCCCAGATTTTTTTCCCTAACCCTGAAGGAAGTGATGTTAGACGGATGTGGGTGGTGCCTCCGGGGTCCGGTTAGGATGGAGTAAGTTTAAAGGTGCAGGTCACGTAGAAGGGTGCGGGAGCTGTTCTCGAGCCCGAGTTGCTTGCCCACTTGATTCTGGATGTCCAGTCCGAGGATCGAGAGAGAAAAAGTGGGCCAAGATAGTGGGGGATGGGGAGGAGGCTCAGGAGAACCGTTGCCAGTTGCGTCTGCCAGCAGGCTAGCCCCTCCCCCCAGGAACCGCTGCTCTTAATAGTCAAAACGCAAATTATTGATCGGTGAAGTCAGCAGCTCCTAAGAATGGGCGAGTTGCCCATTGGCTTCGGGTCCCCTTTCGTTCTCTGCAAATAAAATAGGCTAGACATCTCGATTTCATTCTTAGTTTCCTGCCCTGGTCTCCGAGGAGACCTCGCTAGCCAGTTCTGCAGTGCATGGTCTCGTGCCTTGCACGAATCCCCCTTGCTGCTCGAGAAGCGCTGGACTTTATTTTCCTTTGCAGCAGCAATTCTTTCATTCAGGCATGAAGCAAACAACTGATGCAAGCTCGGAGAAAACCAAACGTGGGCTCTGTTATTGCAAACCTCACTTAGCTCTTCAGTGAAGAAGCCCTTAAGTTACTGCAGGCATTTAAAATGCAAAGCGTCTGGTTGAATCTATTTATTTTGGTCTTGTTTTTAAACTTTGAGGGTCTCATATTTTTTTCCTTCATTTTTTTACTCCGACACAGAACGAGCAAGTCAACATTCTCCGTCTCTCCTGCTGGCACTACTTGAGTCCGGCAGTGCGCACTTAACGTCTAGTGAAAGATAGCGGACAAAAGTACACACACACACAAACAAAACACACAAGTCCTTTTATTGGGCTCCCCAGACATCGCAGGCACCGACACAATGGAACGCTCGGGAAACTGCAAGTTCCAGAAGGCTGTGCGGCCCCCTGCACCGGCCGTCTGCCCATTGGGAAACGCAGAGCGCGTTGGGATTTGTAGTTCGTCGATGCGCTCCCTGGATAGGCTGCTCCGCTGAGAGGGAGGCGGGGCCGGCGGTGTCACGTGGGCCCCGCTCCCGCCGCCTCTGCCGTCTTCGTCTTTCTCTGTCTCGACTGAGGCAGCCATCTTGCTCTTGCCGCGTGCTGGTGTTGGAGGACCCTCCCTGCTTCAGGTGAGACCCCCGGCGGTCCCGCCACTCCACGGCCATAGGCCGCTGCGCACGGTCTCCCCCCGCCCTCTTCTTCCGACACCCGCCAACCGCTCGGGTTGCCACTTCCGCCGTGGCGCGCCGAGTGGGGGCGGAGGCGGCTGGCTTGGCCTGTCGGTTACCGGCGGCGCAGCTGGGGGTCGGCACCTAAGGGAAGGTCCCCAGCACCACCGCCCCTTCTGGGGGCCAGCGGGCTGTTGCCGTCCACCTCCAGCCCCAGGAGGCGGGTGATCTCCCGTCTCTGTCCTGTTACTCTTGGTTATTCACAACTACAATGCTGAGAGCTTTGAGCTTTCTGCGGCCCCTCTGTTGTCATCCCATTCTACAGATTGGGGGACTGAGGTTAACAGCCCCCCTCTTTCACCCCTCCGGCCTCCAAGCGCTCGGGACCGAATTCCGTTGCAGCGCTTTTCACCTCGTAATGGCAGTATTTGTCTGCAAGTTTGCCTCCTCCGAGACACTGCCTTGCCCGTCTGTGTAACTCCATCACACTGCCTGGTGCATAGTAGGCTGTCAGGAAATTCTTGATTGACCAAGGGGCCCAGGGAGTGTTACACAGCTTAGTGAATGGCGGTTTCAACTTCCGTTCCCACGTTCTTTCACGGTAGCCGTCCGCTCTGGAGTGGTAACAATAGTTGCCAGTTTTTGAGTCTCTACCTTGAGCCTTTTGCCCGGTGCTTGATAACCAACCTTTAACCCTTAAACAAAACTAAACAAAAAAAACTGAAGAATACAGAAGGGATACAAGTTCAGAGAAGTGAAGTACTTTTCAGAAGCCCTAAGGGGTAGAATGTTGATCCTTCTGATTCCAAAGCCTGTAGAATAAAAAGTCGGGACTAAAGGTTGATATTATGTTATCTCTGTGTAAACATGATGCATATGAAAGTGCTTATACTGTTTGAAACTTAGGCACTGAATAAATCCTCGTTATTTCCATCCTTTCTTGAGTTCTTAAGGAAAGGGCTAAAATACCCTATGATCCCCAAGGAAGAACTCACTGATCTTAGGAAATGACTTCTTCCTTTGAACCTTCCTCTCCAAATCTGATAAGTTAGGAGGTTAAAGTGAACTCTTTCATTTGTTTATAATCTACTCGCTGCTGCTGCTGCTGCGCTGCTTGCAGGTATTTGACATAGCCGTACATACAAGACTGGAAGGACTAATGAGTAGAATGAAGTAAAGGTTGATTGAGGGATACGAAATTAAACAGGTGGTCTTTCTTTTGAGGTCTAGTCCATATTTGGAGCTTGACATCTCATGCAATGAGTCCAGTCCTCTTTCCTTCTTGAATTCCACACACTCCAACCTGTTAGTAAACAAAGAAACACCTTTCTTAATCCCCTGCCACCTTGAGCCTCCAACCTCCCTAGCATGCGTTTTCTCTGAGATATTCCTTGGACTCAAGTTTTCCTAATTATCTGCAGTAGAATCTATTCTTTCATATACACGTTGATATAAAGAGTTAATTTTGGTTTTGCTTTTGTTTCCAACAAGTCAGGACTATATCTTGACTTCAGTCTTCTCTTGGGGACTATTATTTCAAAATGCAAAAGAGCCCAAAAATGTTTTACCCTATATCTAGTTCTAATATTTTCACTTAACCCCTTTTTTGCAAGAGATTCCTTAGGTTCTTTGTTGATTCACTACACTTTCATGGCTAGATTCCTTAGAGAAAAGTGAATTTAAGGAGTATAAAGGTTGGGGTTTAAGTCTGGCAAAGTTGAGGTTGGCACACACTTAAATCCTCTGGTTTGTACTCTGATCACACTTCCTCTTATAAGAGAATTTTTAGCTGCTTGAGCATTGTAATACATTGCTGAGCAAAGATTGAGGAATCATATACTTGAAATATTATTTGGGAACTGGACTTTCTTTGGCCTTAAGAGAGAGAGATGCACAGTGTCGGAATACAAAATAGTACTTATATAATCTTTGATTCTTTCATCTTTGAAGTGAAGGGAACAATGTCTTTTTCATTTGAATTATGACTATAAAGAGGTTAGAGGATTGGCAAAAAAAGATGTGATAATAGCTTTGTCCTTTATTTGCACTCTCATGTCTCAGTAATCTGTTGATCCACAGAACAAGTAAAGCAAGTTGCTTAACGTTGGCTTTCATTTGTTTCTGTATTGTGGAATGTTATGAATTAAATTATAATTTTTTATTTAATAGGACTATTACTGACTAGGATTCATGAATTTATAATGTTCTTGGAATTTTCAAGATCAACTTTAAAAATCTTATTTTTAAGAGTCTCCTCTTCCCCTCCCCAGACTTAGTATTAATGTAGCAGAGATACATTTTCATCAGTTGTGTATGGAAGAAAATCTTGACAAGTACGACAAACTATATTAGTACAATATATTGAATGAAATCTGTGGAAAGTGTTTAGAAAGCACTGAATGTCTGAAAATCTCTTTTTCTTTTCCTCTTATTAATATACCATCTGACCTTGAATAGAGGACATGATTACCTCTTATCTTGACTGTTAGACAGCCTGTTGTTGAATATCTTCTTTGTCCAGTTTTTTGTTTTCTATTTATGATTTACAAGAAATAGAGAATGTGATTTAGGAGAAAAAAGTCTAGTTAAAGGTGGTGCTATAATATTTGGTAAAAGCTCTCAGCTGTAAAAATCTTTGGGGGTGAAACTGACTTACCTACAGAGATTTTTTTATAATCGGTTAGGTTTTACTAAATGCCAAGGTAATGAATCATGCTTTTAGGAAGGAACCTTCAAATAGGTAACTTTGAATTCCATTCTATTTTCTGATTGTTCATTTTACTCTCATGGTATTATTTAATTTTACTCTCATGGTATTATTTAATTTATTTTACTATCTAGTTTTTGAAGCTAGAACAAATTATTAATGTTTGTTAAGAATATAGACAGTGTTGATATTATCATGGTGATGAGACATACTGCAAGTTCAGTGAACCAGAAGATACTGTTGCATAAACATTTTATTTTGGTGAAACAGTGAATTTAACAAATTTATTTTTCCGCCCTAGATTTACCAACAGCATGAATCAAGAAAAGTTAGCCAAACTTCAGGCTCAGGTCCGGATAGGGGGCAAGGTGAGTGTGGCATAAGAAAAATTGATAGGGACCTCCCTGGTGGTGCAGGCGGTTGAGCGCAGCACTGTGGAGCTGTCTGTAGCATCTGCAGTGCCAGTTCGATCCCTGCTGGCTGTGGAGCAACCCACATGCCAGGGCAGACCTCTCCCATCTCGTCTGTTGTTCCCCTCAGCAGTGTATTTTTGGTCAGTCTGTACTATTCCCCTCTCTGTTTCTGGTGAATCCTCTCACCCTCCTACCCTCCCACACATCTGGCCTGTACCCTGGTTCTTGTATAAATAAATAAATCTTTAAAAAAAAGAAAGAAAAAGAAAAATTGATAGGAGAATGTATGAGTAACCAATGGTATTGTTATTTTGGATTTGTGGTTATTGAAACTATAAAATCTTTTTGATAATCAAAATCAAACCACATTCCAGTAGGAAAATGATTGTCTTGATCTAAAATAGGTAACTAGGACCTCCCCGGTGGCGCAGCTGTTGAGCGCTGGGTTGCGAGGCTGCCTGCTGCCTCTGCGGCGCCGGTTCGATTCCCGGCTGCTCCCCGGCCACCGGAGGAGGGTCCCACATGGCGTGCAGACCTTTCCTGCCGCCCGCTGCTCCCCTCAGCAGTGTACTTCGGTCCTTCTGCCTGCTCTGCTCCCCGCTCTGGCTCTGGTGAATTCTCTCACCCTCCCGCGCTTCTGACTGTACCCAGTGCATGTACAAACAAAACAAACGAACAAACAAATAAATAAATAAAACATGCCTCTATAAAAGAAAAAAAAAAATAAATAAAAAAAAATAAAATAGGTAACTAGAAGACTTCTCTTTCTGATAGCAATGGAAACAAAGCCATCCTTGTTTAAATCCTCTTAATAGCTGATAGTTACATGACATGAACAAGTTACTCAGCCTCATTATGCTTCCAGTTTTGCATCTGCAAAATGGAACTAATCCTGCATAAGATGTTTTTAAACATTAGAGTAATACATAAAAACAACCTAACATGGTTCTGACACAGAGTAGATATTTAATATATGATAACTATTTTCACTTTGGAGTCATCTGCAGAGCATCCCAAATGTTAAGGTAATTTTATTTTGATGGGATACACTGACTGCTGTAGTTTGGTTTATAAATGGTTTGACTGGAGATGGTTAAGCTGATTTTATCTCTCACTAC